GTTATACTCAAATTTTTGGGTTGGATTATGCAGATACCTTTTTCCCTGTGGCAAAGAGAGATTCTGTTTGTTTATTTATCACCATGACCGCTCTTCAACAATGGTCTCTTTATCAACTGGATGTTAAAAATATTTTTTTCAATGGTGATTTGCAAGAAGAAATCTATATGGAGCAACCTCCTGGGTTTGTTGCTTAGGGGGAGTCTTCTGGGATGATATGTTGTCTTCGCAAATTCCTATATGGCCTAAAACAGTCTCCTAGGGCCTGGTTTGGAAAGTTTAGCAAGGTTGTTCAACAATTTGGTATGACTCGGTGTGAAGCAGATCATTCTGTCTTTTATTGACACTCGAGTGCTGGATGCGTTTACTTGATAGTATATGTTGATGACATCGTTCTTACAGGTAATGACAATCATGACATCTCTCAGTTGAAATAACATCTCTGTCACCATTTGTAGACCAAAGATCTTGACAAACTTAGATATTTCTTGGGTATTGAGGTGACATAGTCCAATGATGGTATTGTTATATCTCAGAGGAAGTATGCTATGAATATTTTGGAGGAAACTGGGTTGATGAGTTCAAAGTCTATTGATACACCCATGGATCCCAATACTAAACTTCTACCAAATTAGGGGGAGCCTATATTTGATCCTGAGCAGTATAGAAGATTGGTTGAAAAATTGAATTATCTTATAATTACTCATTCTGACATTTCCTTTGCAGTCAGTGTGGTAAATCAATTTCTTAATTCACCATATGAAGATCATTGGAATGCAGTCATTTGTATCTTGATGTATATTAAAGAATCTTCTAGAAAATGATTGTTATATGGTTCTAATAACCATACAAGAGTTGTTTGCTACTCAGATGCTGATTGGGCAGGATCTCCTTCAGAAAGAAGATCTACATCTGGATATTGTGTCTCCATTGGTGGTAACTTGATCTCATGGAAAAGTAAGAAATAAAGTGTTGTGGCAAGATCCAGTGCAGAAGCAGGATATAGAGTTATGTCCTAAACTGCCTGTGAACTTGTTTGGCTCAAGCAATTGCTTAGAGAGTTACAATTTGGAGATGTCACTCAAATGACACTTTTGTGTGACAATCAGGTTGCTCTTCATATTAGTTCTAATCCTGTCTTTCATGAGAGGATCAAACATATTAAGATTGACTGTCATTTTATTTGAGAAAAGATTATGTCTGGAGACATGAAGACTACTAAGATTGTTAACTCAAGTGATAAGTTAACAGATATTTTCACTAAGTCTTTACGGGAGCCTAGAGTTGATTATATTTGTAACAAGTTTGACACATACGATTTGTATGCTTCAGCTTGAGGGGGAGTGTTAGATATTGTTTAAATATTGTTTGATATTGTTAAGATATTGTTAGATATTGTTAACCACAATATCAAACAATATCTTCTGTTTACTTTCGGTTACTCTTTTAGTTGTACCTCTCTCTATTATAAATAGATTACCCTATGTGTGATTTATACACAAGAAAGATTAATCTCAAACCCTATTTCCTTTATATTTAATACTTAGAATCATTATCCAATTTGACGCTGTGCCTGAATGATTGGTCTAGTTCGGTGAACCATTTTTTTTCTCCACACATATGGTTGCTACAACCTGAGTCTAGGAATCATATGTCACTGCGTACATCTCCTTGCAATTCTTGATAGGCCATAAACAACATCTCCTCTCCCTCGTCCATATTAGTGTGTTCGGTATAGTTTGCATAGGTGAGACATTCATATTTGAAATGTCCTAGTTTCTGACAGTCAACAGTGGATTTGTTGAATGCTCTCCCTCGACCCCTGCCTCTTCCACGCCATCTGCCTCTAGTGATGGCCCGTTCCTCGGTGTGTGAAAAAGAGGCATTCTGCGTGACCTTCAATGCTTGGTTAGTTATCTCTTGCTGCTTGAACTTTTGTTCATGAATAAGAAATGAGCTTTGCAATTCATCAACTGTCATCTTATTGATATCTTTTGACTCTTCAGTGGAGCATACAATGTAATTATACTTATCTGACAGTGTGCATAGGATCTTTTCAATAACGTGACCATCCTCCATAGTCTCGTCAACTCTTCTCATATCATTTCATTTACGATAATCATTTTTCTAGAAATGTAATCATTAATGCATTCACCACCTTGCATCTCAATGAGTTCAAACTCCCTTCTAAGTCGCTGAAGTTGAGCTCTTTGAACACGTGCATTTCCATGATATTTCTACTTCAGTGAATCCCAAACACTCTTGGACGTTGTTTTATTGGTGATTGTCTTCATAATATTTTTATCTATAGACTGGAATAAGTAATTCTTGGCTCTCAGATCCTTTAACCGTTGCTCTTCCAATGTACGTCGCTCTGCTCCAGTGAGTTCTTCTACCGTTTTGGGCTCTTCATAGCCTTGTTTCACTACTGTCCAATATTCCTTTGATCTCATAAGATTTTCCATGAGCATGGATCAGTGATCATAATCACCATCAAATCTAGGAATACTAAGGAAATCGTTGCTATTAGCCATGATATTTTGGTTTCTAAATATCAAGTTCGTGAATGGCTCTGATACCAGTGTTAGTTTCTAACACTGCTACGTGTAGAAACGTAACTTTAAATATGATGACATTAAATAGCCAATACAAGAAGAAAATAGAAAAATTAATTCATGCTTAAATCATAACTAAATATGAGGGACCTCTATTCCTAAAAAATAGATATTTTATTTAATTAAAAAATAAACTAATAACTAATAGATATTTTATTTAATTAAAAAATAAACTAATAACTGTATTATATCGATAATAAATATCCTAACAGACTCTCTAAACTTAAAAATATTTATTTCAGTCTTTTAAGAATGTAACATACTAAGAATGTAACATATGATTTTATCTTTAAACATTAATTTTGAAGAATTAAAATGAAAATTTTAAAATTATTTCTAATTTTTTCAATTTAGTGTTTAAGAACTTAATATTTAAAGTTAATGTAAAAATTTGTAAATTTTTAAAAATAAAAATAATATTATGTTATTAAAAAATATATTAAAATTTTTATGTTAAATTATTATTTTTAAAATTAAATTTAATTAAAAAAATTTGAAGGTCAAGAAACAGAATATAATTCAATTTTTGAGTATTTTTCAATATTTTTATAAAGTATTCTATATATCTTCAAGTATCTTATTTCTTTAATAAGGTATTATCGATATATTTTTACAAGATATTTTAATATTCAAATCAATTAATGGATGTCAACGAAAATAATGTAATAAAAAAATTATATATATATATATATATATTCATGTTTTTATTTAAAATATTTTATCTTAATTTTGTATTAATTTAAAAAAAATATTTTTATATTGATATTTTATTTCAATTAAGTGAATAATATATAACTCATTTTAAAAGATAAACCAAATTAAATTAGGATTGGAAGGAGAAACTGTCCATTTTCACAGCAGTAATTGGGAGATTGTATTTGAGAAACAAACATTTTAGCATAGTAAAAGGGAAAGATTAACAACATCGTTGAACCAATTGAAATACAAAACTAATGTGGAAAAAGGTTCCGGTGGTTGTAGTGGATCAAGACAGCAACAAGAAATGACAAGCAGGATAATGTTACTGGCCAGGTTGACATTAATAACAGCGTGTCAACCATGGAAGTTGAACACAAGAGCTTGCACGCGGGTGGAGATTCTTGAAATGTGGAAGACGAGGGTCACATTGATGATAAATAAATCTTATAGTTGTTAATGTATATACAGTGGTCCATGTTTTTTGTTCGTACTCAATTATGTCATCATAATAACCAGAAATAATAATCTATTATATTTTTAACATTAGATTTACACATAATTTAGAACCTTCAGTAATAATATTTATTTGTTAATTATCTAAATTTGGGATACATATATTTCACTTAATTAACTAGTTTTATTTTCAACTAATTATTTTCATAGACATACAATATTCATTCATTTTATTTAGACAACATTTTAACATTTTAACTGACCAATTTTATTCAAATTTATACACATATTTTTCTTTTATTTAAATCAATGAAGTTTATAAAAACTAGTTAATTATATAGTTAGTTTCATTGAGTTATTTTAACTTATTTGAAAAAATTCAAATTCAAACAATAATCAAATAATAGCAAGCAGTTAAAGTAATACTTTTTACATAGTTATAATTAAAATAATACTAAAAATTAATTTTATATGCAAATAAATAAAAATAAGAAAAATAGGTTGTTAAATTAGAATAAAATGTATTAAAATTAATTTTTAAATTACTATTGACATCTTACCATCATTTATTACTTACGTATATGGTTATATATTAATATTGGACCAGATTTTATTAAATTTAAAATTGGTTTTTGTCCAAAAGACAATTGCTTCTATTTGATTATGGGCTTCATTTGGGCTTATCTGGGTCCAAAACAAAACGTTCCACTCTCACAGACATAAATTGCCGCGAATCATAGGTTGCTCACAGAAAATTAAAAAGCTTAACTTGTCATATCTTCTTTTGAAAGATTTGTTGAGAAAAAGAAAGAGAGTTTCGTCAATCATCAAAATTATACATCAGGTGATTGACTTCTCTTAACACTTTCATTCTTTTTGTTCTTGCATTCTTTGTTTCATTTGGTTTTGCGTCATTTGGTGATGAATTCTAGTGCACCCCATGATTGTTCAAGTTTCAGAATTGATTCTTTGATAAGAACTCACTATCTTTATGTAATTTATGATAAAGGGGCATGCATTTCTTATCTTTGTCAATTTCAGCTTCTTTATAAACTTTTATGGAGGAATGCATGATATAACACTAGCTAAAGATAAAAAGAAAATCCCATCATTAATTCTGAATACGAATGAACATCAGTCTTGTCTGAAGAAACACTGTCTGATCATCAACTTTTTCTTTTGCTTTCATTTTGGAAACGTCTTCATTCTGTAGCAGGTGACTGTTAAGCACCAATGATTGCTAGTTTTGTTCAGGTACTCAGGGCCATGTTGAAAACTTGTTAGAGCATGTAAAACAATATCATTTAACGTGATCATTTAATCCTCCGTAAGTTCTTTGATAAGAACTCAATATCTTTATTTAATTTGTTTGCGTGTGGTATGTTATGCATGATGAAATGAAATAAATTCATCCGTTTCATCTCTGCATTGCTAAGTGTCAAATGGTGACCAAAATTTTTCTTTGGCTTGTCATGGACTCAACCAGTCGCGGATCTTGACCATTGATCTTGAGGAGGTCAAATAATATATTATTATAAATAATAAATAAATATAAAATAATATATTATTAATAAATAATAAATAAATATAAAAGGAAGAAAGAAGATGAAAGGGTAAAAGGATAAAATTATAGATATATATTTAAATATATTAAATGATCATTAAGTGTGAGGAGGACAAAGTCATAAATTACATTGGAGTTACAAAATTGAGGAGAGAATGAGAGGATAAAATTGTAAATATAAGTAAATATATTAAATGTTTATTAAGTTTGGGAGCTAAAATAATAAATTACATGGGAGTTATAAAACTTTGGAGCCACGACCCTCAACTCCCGATAAGATCCGCCACTGGACTCAACTCTTTTACTTATTTCTGTTTGCTTAAGCTATCGACTTCCTTTCTAGATGTTCCCTATGATTAATGTTAAAAGCATTTCCATAATTTATAATTCATGGCAAATGTTTTTATGCCTTTACATATTTGTAACAAGAATGAATCTTGTAGAAGAGGTCTGGTATTCTTACGTGCTTTCTTTGTTCTCCTACAACTACTTATATTCAATATGTTAATTAGAGTGCTTAAATCCATGCATGTGTAAATATGAACTTGTGATGGTTTTGTTTTCTGAATTTTTGCATTAACGTGGATACAAATGTTGTAGTAGCTGATAAATGAAAACTGAAATATGGTTATATATTGAGGAATGAAAACTGAGACAGGCCAAGATTACTGTTGAAATCTGTGGGTGATGTATAGCTCAAATCCTGCCAGTATTAGTGGGCAGTCTGAGGCAGTATATGCTGTTCGGAGGAAGCCTCGGATTCTACTTGCTGCTTGTGGGTGCAGTGATGCTGCAAAATTTGGGCTTCTTTGTAAATATTTTTCAGTATGGGCAAAAGTAGGTGTTGTTTTGACACAATCATCGTTACAATTTATTAATGCAGAACCAATGGCCCATCTATATGTTACTTGTGCTGATTCCTCCATTGAGTATCTTGAATGGGCTGATGTCATGGTCATTGCTCCATTGTCGGCAAATACCCTTGCTAAGGTAATCAAACCAGTAAACTTTAGCAGATTTTGGCTCACTCAATCTCTCTTTATTGACAATACAACAATAATGTTCAGTTCAAGTTTTCATGTTTACATCTTATATTGTTTTTTATGTTCACATTCAGTTCAACATGTTGTATTTCTTATCTCAACTATGGTGTTTTGCAGATTGCGAAAGGTTTATCTGACAACCTAGTGACAGAAATTGTGCGAGGATGGGACTATGACAAGGCACTTTATGTTGCACCATCGATGGACCCTATTATATGGAATGATCCTTTGACAGCACAACAATGTAATAACATTGAAAAACTTGGCATTAGTATCATCATTCCACCCTCACCTACAGGAGAAAATGAGTTTTGTCAAATGGCTGAACCTTCGGAAATATCTTACACTGTCCAGCTAGCTAATAATGAGTTTTGGGAATATTATTAATTAATATAAAAATTAATTTCTTGACATAATAAAATTTGCTTTAAAAATTAATATTTTTATCACCACATAATTGAATTAACATTTTATTCTAAATTTTGTATTAATATTAGTTTAAAATTTAAGCGTTTTAGATAATTTATTCATCCTAAAAAGTTAAACATTTGTTGTATACATTATTGATATTAAGATATATATTGGCCCCTCCAGCTACACGCGGTTTCATGGACTTTGAATTATTTTTACGAATATTATTTTCAGAATTTAATAAATTAAACGAAGTTTATATACACACACGATTTACAAATTCACTAAAACCCGTCTTCTGACACTGATCGCCACCCATCACCGCCAATGGCGCCACCAATCGCGGCGCACCTCACGGTTTTCGCCTTCCTCGTCACTGCTGTCTCTGCCACCACAACCGGATACCACAACCACACCGTCGGCGGTGACGCCGGGTGGTTCTTCAACTCCACCACCAACACAACCGCCACTAACTACACTTCCTGGGCTTCAAATCAAACCTTCGACCTTGGCGATTATCTCAGTAAGAAAACTCATTCTCTTTTTTTCTTTTCATTTCATTATTTATTGCAATCTTAGAACACCTTTAAGTTACACTGTTATATTGCCGCGAAAAACGAACACAAATGAAATTGAACATGAAATTGAGATTAAATCTGACTGACTGTAGAAGTTCTCGCCAATTTAACTTTTCTCTCCACTCTTTAAGAAATCAAACGCGGAAACCTAATTCAATTTTCTGTGTTTTTACTTTTCTTTTGTTGCTGATTTTTAGTTTTCAATACGAGCTCGAACCAAACGGTGGTTCAGACTTACAACTTGACGACCTATCTGAACTGCACCGCCGACGATACCGACAACGGCACTTTCGTGTACGACGGCGGAAGCAGTAGTTTCAGCCAATCGTTGACCATCGCCGTGCCGTTGACCATAGTTGGACCGAACTACTTCTTCTCCGACGCCGGCGACGGCGTCCAGTGCCAACGCGGCTTGGCCTTTGAGATCGACGTTCAGCGCGGCCTCGGCTTGCCGCCGAGCCTCAACCAGCCGCCGCCGCCGCCGCCGTACCAGGAGCCTCCGGGTCCCGACGTCGCTCAGTCTCCGCCGGTCCCCGTGGCGCAGTCTCCCAGCGGCGGTGCGTTTGCGAGCCGCGCTGACGTGCATTTCCTGGTTTATGGTTTCGCGGCGTTGTTGCTGCTGCAGCAATTTCAGTGAGGAACATGTTAGTCTTCGGTCGGGCGCAGCATTGAATAAATTTGTTTACAGCTCACGAAATTTCCTCTGTACTGAACTTGTTAATTTCATTACGTTTATTTGTGCTTTTATTTTATTTTTTTTCTTTTGAATTATAAGATCCTTTATTATTATGAGGGAACTGGAGTTGATGTTACGATTTTTGTTGCGGGAAACTTAGAATAATCAATTTTTTTGGCCATTTTATTTTGAATGAGCAAAAAGGAGATATGAGTAGTTAAATATTTTATTTTGTTGCTGAGGGGTTAAGTAGGGTTGGAAAATTGTGGATTTAACCTAATTGAAAAATCCATTTTTAAATATTTTATTTTATTAAATTAAATTATATGGCCATCAATGTAAAAATTAAAAGAAATACTATACTAACAGGTCACTTAAATCTGTGAAAAATGAATAGATCACTTAAGTGGCAAATTGGCAATCAACCTTAAAGACTTAACTATTAACATAGGGATTTAGTTTATTAAATTAAAATTGTTAATTTTGAAATATTTAAGAAACTAATCTGTTTAGAAATGAAGCTTAATTCAAATAAGAGAGATAAAATTATATTAGGAACTTACTGTGAGTTATAGGGAGAAGTATCGGAAGGAAATTTATGTTACAAGGTATTTTTTTCAATTGTTTCTATTTCCTTGTTTTGTTATAAAAGTAAAAAATAAATTAATAATATGTTAGAAAGTAATCAAAAAATACTTTTAAAACAAAAAACCTATAAATAATGTCTTAATTTAAAGTATGCTCAGCACTGTGAAAGCTAAATTCAAACACGTTATTAATTTGTAATTGACTGAAAGTGTGAAATATTTTATAACGTCAGTGTCGTAAAAATTATTTTTATTATTGTACATAAACTTAATGTTTGCAATTATATAATTTTTTATGTTGAAAAAAATAAAATTTAGCTAGTTTTGCACATATTGTTTTATCTCTATTTATTTATATAATATTTTTAATTTTTACTATTTAAATTTAGAAAAATAGTATATAAAAATATAATTTTTTTAATATATAGATGAAAAGAAAATTTATTGTTCAGGATCAAACTTAAACAGAATGCATGAATTGTATGTACGCGTCTCCAACTCTTACGAATAATAATAAAAAAAAGTAGCTTATTCAACTTTAGAATTATTAAATGAAATAATTTAACCAAACGTATATAACTATATTTTTTCGGACACGGCGACGACAGACGAAGAAGAAGGTGCACGTGTATTTTGTATGGATTGATTCAAGAAAACGAAACTTGCGAAAGAAAAAGAATGAATGCCCAAAATTGAAAAATGACAAACCAATAAATGCATGAACGAAAGAAAAATGGAACGATGATTCATTGATGCTGAATGAGTATAGTCAGTCCCTAAGAAAGAAGGCTTTAATACTTTTCAGTTTCATTCCAGATTCCAATCTTGTGAAAGAAGAGCCAAAGAACTCACCGCAATCCCTCAATTTTACGTTACCAATAAGAAAAACATCACAGTTTCGAAACACCCTAGATAGAGAGAGAGAGAGAGAGAGAGAGAGAGAGAAAGGGATTCTTCCGTAACTACATAATTGTAAAATAAAACTTTGGTTTTCCTTCAGTTGCACATTTTGCTATCGTTTACAATTCTCATCCTAATTAGTGGTCATTTTCACAATATTGACGCTCTGCGATCCTTTTCTCAAATCGCACAGTAAGCTCCTGTTTTGCCTTGATTGGTGCGTTTCTTAAATTTACGCCTCCTTTATGAATTAGGGTATCTCTGGTTTTGATTTGTTTGTTTTGGGTGTTTTTTTCAGGTTCTTTAGTGAAAGGGTAGCGTTGTTTGGAATCTGAGAAAATGGGTTTGTTTTCTGGGATTTTTCTGGGGATGTTATTCGGCATATCATTGATGGCTGCGTGGCAACGCATGATGGCGTACCGTAGCGCCAAGAGAATTGGAAAGGTATTTTGACGTAATGATCAAGGAATCAATTTTCATTGCTTTGATGATCAATGATTTAGGGAAAAAAAAATTATGGATTTCATTGTACTGCGCAATGTTGAAGAAAAGTTGACGAATTATGATGTAATGGATCAGTGAGTGAGTATTTGAATATTGGAAGGAAATTTTGGAAGATAGTGAAAATCAGGAATGGCTAGTGATAACCTGTGGTGCATTTTAATTTGAGATTTATGATCATGCATTGACAGTGTAAATTTGATCTACATTGTCAATTAATCACAAATCATGGTATGCCTGATTTTAAGTAGTTTTCGTAAAAGTAAAAAAATTTATTACATGTGAGAATTTCTGATTGAGTTTACACAATCAGAGCATAGTATTTTTTTTCTTACTTAAATTTTTTTATAAAGTGGGTCATTCGTATTGAAGATGTGTAATCATTGTGATAAAGAGTCATATGGAAAGACAGAGGTAGACAGATAATGCGTTTGTTAATCAATTGGTTTGGCTAGAAGAAACGAAGAGATACTTTGTCAATTTACAGATTTGATTTCCTTAGTTAAAATTTGCCTTCAGCAAAGAAAATGTAACTATATGCGGAATTGAGCCCTTGTTGGACCTCTGTCAAACTCATATGTCGGTGAAAACTGACAAGTTGTCGAATCAAGACATGAAATATGTCAGAAATTAATTTCACTCAAATTCCCCACCATGTTATCTAGATTATCATTTTGTGTGATAGAAAAATGATATTCTGTTGAAGAAAAAGAGGGAAAGTACAACAGGGGAATTGAATTGATCATCAGAAAACATTCTAAAGTAAAAGTATGCACAATTGCTCATAGTGTTCACTGATTTCCCCTAAAGGTTATTCCATTAGAAAGTAGTTGACTTTACAATAATGAGTATCATACTTGAAAGAACTATACACACATATCAAGCCTCAAGAGAAAGATTTGTTGAAGCCTACAATCTGCAACAAGTCATTTTTATTAGTTGCTATTCGGTAAAAGGTTTGATCTTACAGGGAGCTTTCATCTTGCACATGTGTGTGACTGTTGAACCCAATGTCAAGGAATTTTTCTGTTATCTGAATAATTAACTCCAAGATTGTGTCCCTAAGACAAAGAAAACCTTGCATTCCAAATCTGTGATGTACCTTCTGCTTTACACAGACTCATGTTTGCTCCTGTTGATATTTAGTCCAAAAATGTCAACTTGTCAAGTCATTTAGGAGTGACTCAGAATATCTTACTCCGGCCAATGACTGCTTTTAAGGTTCACTTTGAATGTTAAAGCAACCTATGGACCATTTATTGGTAAAGATTCAGGGATATGAAAAAATTCTGGGTGGAGACTTATGATGGCCATTTTATCTGTTGCTTAACTTGGAGTTTCTGAAACCATTTAAAAGACACCTTAGTCTGGATGGTTTTCTAACTTGAGGAAATTTGGTGTTTGATAGAGATTAATGATGTTGATTGATCTATATAGTTGACTCCATATGGGATAGATAGACTTAGTTCTTGTTGTTAGTGCCAATTTATAATGAGCATGCAAGAGCCATTCGACCCCCTGACCAAAGTTGTTGGTTCTCTTCCCATTTTTCTCTGTTCCACGATTCATACTGAGCCTAAATATGATGTACACTAAACTAAATATGAGAAATAAAGCAAAAAGCGGGAATGTTTTAAATTCAGAATGCAGTCGCTTTCAAAATAATTCATTCAAATCAAATATCTTTTGAAACCTGAAAGCATAATACATGTTTTGTGATTTCATGTGTTTTTTACGTGACATCATATGTTTTTTTTCTTTTTATGAACTTTGCATTGAGGAATGCTAAAAAATTTAGGACTTCCACTATTGGAGTGGCCTAGTAATTTTGGAATAAGAGACATATCTTGTTCTGTAATTGTCAAGATCCATTGTTTGATGAAGTACAAGTCTAAAGTGCATGAATATACTTTTGTGTGGTGCTGCACCGTTATCTATTACGTGATGTTATAAATGGGGTGTGATGGGAAAGTTTATAACAGTAAACTTGGCCAATAACTTCAGACAATTATCTCTGCATTATGAGTTACAACTTTATCAGTCATATGTCTGTATGGTGTGCCTGTGGACTTCAGCATGGAGTCTAGATACTGGACCCTATGCTGATTAAATCATAGCATTGACAGAAGACAGGAAAAATAAGGACTCATTTTAATGATAAATACTACGGCACTAACAAGACTTGTGGTCCTTTTGTAGTGAACATGTTTTTATTTAACAATTTTTTTAGTCTCTGTGTGTGTGTATATATCTTTATCTATCTATCTATCTATATCTATCTATCTATCTATCTATATCTATATCTATATATATATATATATATATATATATATATATAAAATTCCTAATCCTTACATTTTTCATTTTTCTCTGCAGGCAGTTGATATTAAACTCCTTGGGTCCCTTAACAGAGAAGATTTAAAGAAAATTTGTGGTGATAATTTTCCTGATTGGATATCTTTTCCTGTCTATGAGCAGGTGAGATTATCGTCTATTGTTATTACATAGCTTTCTTCTGAAATGATTTGACATAGCTCTCCAATTATCCCAGTTAATACAGAATATATTATTGGCAAAGCATCAAATGCAGATGCAAAGTCAAAATATAGAAACACTCTCTTGTTTCCCAGTTTATATACTGTGCATGTGCTGTGTGTATGACCTTCCTTGCTTGGGCATTTTCAGGTAAAATGGCTAAACAAGCAGCTGTCCAAACTTTGGCCATTTGTTGCAGATGTGAGTAAACTTGCTTGCATGTTAAAAGTTTGTACGATAATCTACAGCAGTTTCTGTGGTGTTTGCTGATTTTTAACTATATTTTCTAGGTTATATGTTGATGTTTCCCTTGTTTTTGTAGTATGAATATGTTTTATTCTAATTTTGATTAGATTGTATATTTATTATTGATGACACACTATATTCCTTTGAAGTTTTAACACCCCAGAAGTTGTTCAGTTTGAATGAGGAAAAGAGATTTTATTGGATCTGATGATTACAGAATAAGAACTGATACTACATAGAACTCAAAAAATAAAAACCATCAAAAATGGATGTTCGTTGGTATTTAGTTAGTTTTGTATCTACATCTTCACATTATTAGGATTTATCAAGTGAAATTGTTTGCCTATAACGTCATCCTGCTTTCTTTGGGCTCTAAGAGATCTTTCTTTCTTGATTTTCTTGCAGATCTTTGTTTTAGATGGGTATTCCTTCATTGCTTAAATTGCTGACTTTATCTTGCTTTGGATTATGTTTACTTTTAGGCAGCAACTTTGGTGATAAGAGAATCTGTTGAACCCCTATTGGAAGAGTACAGACCTCCTGGAATTACTTCATTGAAGTTCAGCAAGCTGTCCCTTGGAAATGTTGCTCCAAAAATTGAAGGTAATTCATCTACTGTAATTTCTCTTCAATTTTTTCTCTTCTCAGTTTACTACTTCACTTAAATGTATTGGACAATGAGGTTGATTTGTCACTCTATTTGCTAACATTTTTTTTAGGATGCTTCATATGTAACTTTTTAGACTTTTTCCAAAAGCTGGTCATCATAAAATTTTATGTCCATTTTTTGTTTTATTTTTTCTCCAGATTATGCTATTTGATGAACTGTTGTCTATGCCTGGGAGTACCACAATCCTTTTTGCACATTTAAAATTTTAAGGATGAAAAATCTAGTATCTGCAATATCATTGTACTATTTTTATGAGTCCAATTCTTACGTGTCTAAATTGGTCTAAGAGGATTTCCTTTATTTTTCAATGCATTCCTTTGGTCTTGCCATGTTGTGGATTATGTTTATTTTTAGGCTTGTGGCTTTTCTTTGGAGTAAATTTTATAATCAATATTCGTAGAGATTGGACAGTTTTGGTGCATTTTGAGCCACAATGACATATTGTTTTCCTCATCTCTTTTTTTTTTTTTTTTTTTAATATTCTTCTTCTAGAAGTACATTCTTTATTTTCTTTGTTTCAAGACTGTTAAACTCTCATGTTTATCGGGATATAGAAGACAAGTTAACTTGCTATCAAACTCTTTTCTGTGTAGACTAGTTAACGATTTTGAAATAAAATGTAACTTTTTCCAACTTTTACCCAACAATGACAATATTTTATTAGACTCAAACTATTTGAAGAAATTAACTCTTTTTTGAATTGTTTTAACATTAAGAACTTGAATTTTTCGAATTTATATTTGATTTAGTCATCTATGTAGTTTAATCTTATTCAGCACTAATGTACTATCACACTTTATTATTGTGATTTGCTACTTTTCTTTATTATGATGTGGAAATATTGAATTATTGTTTAAGAGTATATGTTATGCATACATGTCATTAATAGATTTTTTTATTGACTTTTTATAATAGGTAAACTATTACAAGTTTACGAGTTGAATCTATGAGTCATGTTTACAAAAGCTCCATGAGTTTATGCAAACACTCGAACTTGACAACCTTGCTTTGTTTTAATATGTTCTTTTCTTTTAGCAATATATTATAATAATTGAACACAAAATTTCATCATTTCTTTATCAAGTTTTATGGAGGAATGCATGTTAAGATATAACACAAGCTAAACCAATGCACAATCATAACCAAAACTTCACCCAGTAAAAAGACAATCTCATCATCAATTCAGAATACGAATGAACCTCAGTCTTGTCTGAAGAAACACTTTCTGATCATCAACTTTTTTTTCCCTTCATTTTGGACATGTCTTCACGCTGTAGCCAGTGATTGAAAACTTGTTGGAGCATGTAAAAAATATCATTTAATTGGTGTCAAGTTGAACAAAATCTCTTTCTAATCCAGTCTATTATCTGTTCAAAATCAAGGAAAACAATTATGAGATTCAAGATTTAACATGTATTGAATCAAATTTATACAAGTTTGATTCAATACATGTTAAATCAAATTTGTATAAATGAAATAGGATAAATAAAAATGTTTTAGGTCTGTCTTGTGCAACACATGTCTTGAAAGAATAATATTGTTTATTAAAACCTATAAATATATGAAATAGTTTTAAAATGTTTATATTCATAACAAAATGTTATGAAACACAATTTTTATCACCCTTATTGTTTCTACCTCTCAATTTTTCTGTTGAATTATTTTTTGTATTTTGAGAATCAATGTATGCATATTTTCTTTATCCATGCAGGTATTCGTGTTCAGAGTCTGAAGAAAGGTCAAATCATTATGGACATTGATTTTCGTTGGGGTGGTGATCCCAATATTGTTTTGGCTGTTGAAGCTGCACTCGTTGCATCAATCCCTATTCAGGTTAGGCTAGGTAGTGTTTGTTGGATTTCACTTTCCTATGAGAAACTTCAAAAATATTGAGTGTTGTATTTTGCTTCAGTTGAAAGATCTCCAGGTTTTCACCATTATTCGTGTCATATTCCAACTCGCTGATGAGATTCCTTGCATTTCAGCTGTTGTTGTTGCCCTACTTGCTGAGGTAACTTTTGAGGTGCAAAAGAGATAGTTTTTTGGGGGGGCGGGGGGAGGGGTTGAGTTTCACAACCTCCCTTTTTGTGTTATGCAAGTTTTCATTTTATGATATAACATTTAGTTTTTTGTTAAACAAGAATCTGAAAAAGCTAGATAACGAATCCCTTCATAGTAGACATATATATCATCAATTAACTATCAGCTTTAATGGCCGTACCAAATTTTCAAAGTGTGAGATGGTAGAGCCATCATCATCAGGACAATGCCCTTCTTTTGGTTGAGTGAGTGGACTGATACTATTGTGTACAGTTTAAGTGTTTGATTTTGATAACCGAAGCTGCATTTATCAGTATAGCCTACTACATGATAATTGGGATGTTAATTTTATTTTCAGTTTTGATATTATTGACTTTTTCTTTAACATTTTCTTAGCCAAAGCCTAGAATTGATTACACATTGAAGGCTGTTGGTGGAAGTTTGACAGCACTTCCTGGAATTTCAGATATGATTGATGTGAGCTCAATTTTATGAACTTTCCCCTTGCACCTTTTACTAATTTCGAATTAATTAATTATATTACACTTCTGCCAATTTCCAATAGGATACTGTGAACTCAATTGTTTCCGACATGCTCCAATGGCCTCATAGGATTGTTGTACCTCTTGGAGGTATACCTGTTGATACTAGGTAATGGGAATCTTGTGGATTTTGTCTGTTTAAACAGTTTTTCAAATTGGTTGAATTGTGTAGAAATATTCCGCAAGCAAACAGCTTCTGTTTCATTTTTTGTTCCTGCATCCCTTGAAAAAGAAAAAGAAATTGTTATTTAGGGACATGCCTATTGAAAATGGTAATATGCGTATTTCATACTACTTAAGCACCTTTGTCTTTTGCAGTGAACTAGAGCTTAAACCCCAGGGAACGCTTAGAGTGAATGTCATGAAAGCCAATGATCTAAAGAATATGGAAATTATTGGCAAGTCTGATCCTTATGCAGTGTTGCATATTCGACCACTGTTTAAAGTCAAAACTAAGGTTATTGATAACAACTTGAATCCTGTTTGGAATGAGGTATTTGACTTGATTGCAGAAGACAAGGAGACCCAGTCACTCATTGTTGAGGTTTTACACAACTAATCCTTTTCTGTGTCACTCATTCTGTTATAATTTCTTTATTTAATCATTAGTTGAGATAGTTGCAAAACCATGATATGACCTGATTGTGATATTAAAAATTTGCATTTCATACACAAAGTGGTGAAGAGATTGAGGACGATTTATATCATAAGATTCTTGCTAGGTGAATGAAATGGTGGAATGCTTCAGCTGTTATTTTTTGTTGAAAGGTGCTATTTAGTCTTAAAGGAAAATTGTTTCCAATAATGCTTCATCATACTGAAAGTTGGGCAATCTAGTGCCAACAAGAGTATTATAAGCAAAGTGTTTTAAAGCTAAGAATGTTGCAAGGAGGGAATGACTTACAAGAAAATATAAGATCATGAATGAATATTGTAGAGTGAAAGTAGGAGTAGCAACCCATGACAGAAAAACTTAGGTACAATTCCATGTTGTCATCCCTAGCTCACCTCAGTTGCAGTTTGTTTGGGGCGACCTTAATTGCAGCCTCATGGTTAGTTTTTAGCCCATGATTACTAGAAATATGACTTAAATATAACTTATACAGGTAATTCTCATCTTATAAGTTTATCTTTTGGGTTTGAGTTAGATCCCACCTTCAAATTCTATGGCCATATCGAAGCCTCGTTAGAAATATGACTTAAATAAAGCTTTATAAGTTTGGGTAATCCTTACTTTAAAAGCCAATTGTTAGGAGTTGATTTGATTAGATGGGGAATAGCCCACTAGTTAGAGGTAGTAAGTCTATGAATACCTCGAATTGAACTATTAGGAAGAACTTAGATCAAATTGGCCTCTCCTGAACTATTGATTTGTGACATAACACATGGCCATGAGATATTTGTTGCTAACTCTACCTAGTGCGAAAAGACCATTGTTGTTGCATTAGTGATATGTTACTCCAATTAAATTTATCCAAACCTTAATCTGTTTTGACTAGTAACACCAGATGATATTTTGGTTTGAAATCTTTAAGTTTTTAACTGCATAATCCTTAATAATTTGTTTTGTTGCGATGATTGATTCAATGAACTATCATAATGATTTTCATTGATGGTATAGGTTTTTGATAAAGACATTGGGCAAGATAAGCGATTGGGAATAGCAAAATTACCACTTATTAATCTGGAAGCAGAAATTGAAAAGGAGTTTGAGTTGAGGCTGTTGCCATCACTTGATACACTGAAAGTGAAAGACAAAAAGGATCGAGGAACCTTGAAAATAAAGGTATAATTAGACATGCATTGATTTGTTTGCATTGGTGTATAAATTCTGGAGCCATCCTTGATATAGTGGTATAGATGTAAATTTAGACCCCCCTCTTTTTCTTTCCCTCTACCATCTTTAATCATATCATCATTGCCATATTTTAATCCCTCCCTATGTTCTCTAGAATAAAAGTCATATTCTGATCGGAATTCCAGGTCTTTTATCACGAATTTGACAAGAAAGAACAATTGGTTGCACTAGAGGCAGAGAAAAAGATACTAGAAGAAAGGAAGAAACTTAAAGAGGAGGGAGTTATAGGAAGTACCATGGATGCGCTAGATGGAGCAGCATCGGTAGTTGGGTCCGGTGTTGGACTTGTGGGAAGTGGAATTGGTGCTGGAGCTGGACTTGTGGGGAGTGGAATTGGTGCTGGAGTTGGACTTGTGGGGAGTGGAATTGGCGCTGGAGCTGGACTTGTGGGGAGTGGACTTGGTGCAGGGGCTGGACTTGTAGGGAGTGGAATTGGTAGTGGAGCTGGGGCTATTGGCAGTGGCCTCGGTGCTGTTGGCAGTGGACTGACCAAAGCAGGGAAGTTTATGGGAAGGACGATTACCGGACAAGGGCCATCCAGAAAGAGTGGTTCAACTACTCCTGTCAATGTGGAGGAGGCTGGTGGTGGTGCAAAACCTCTGCTGCAGTAATTGCAATCACCTTGAATCATTAGTTCAAGCTTTCACAGTAGATATATATGATATTACCTTTGTTGTTTCTTCTTTTCCATATTCTGAGGCTGTTGTTAACTGAAATAGAGATTGAACACTTGTAGAAACGTCACTTCAATTCTAGTTGTACCATCTTCTTTTTCTGTAATTATGTTTCACATGCCCATGTAATAAAACTTGCATTGTAAAAATTCCAATACTTCATTGGTGATTCAAAACGAAAAAAGAAAATCATGTTACACAAATTGTTGTTTTCTTTTTACTATGAATTTTAATTAAAAATTCTATTTTTTGTTGCATACAGTTAGCATTTATTGTTTTTAGGAACTCAAGAATGACATTTGCATTGGAACACAATCAAATGGTTTCATTGGTGCAAGGACAAACATGTCATTGAGACTGTACACACTTTACTAGCTCAGGCTCATGTAACCACTAGGATTTTGGCTGTGCTTCCATATGATATTCTATCATGTATATAAGTTTAAGTCATTTCTTTACATTTGGATACTGGAGATAATTTTTTCTATAAACACTTGGAGGAGATGAAAATAAAATCATGAACTAAAGTTACATCATGCATAAATTAATTATAAAAACTTTTATATTAAGTTAATTTTAGACTCAAGTGATATTCGGATGTTGTAAATTATTAATGTTTTTCGTTGTACTAATGGTTGGAATGGTAAAAAATATTTAAGTTTTGTCAATTTTCTTTCAATATTCTTTTTTACTCTTACTAGTTACCTTAATTATTTGAAACACATTACTAACAATTATCTCGAGAAAAAAATATACGTTGCTGATATGTATTATGAAACTATAAAGAAAATATTTACAATAGATAATTAATTATTATTATTTTATTATTGTGTAATTTCAATTTGATTATAACTCTATAACTGAGTTTGATATAATGAGTGATTTACATATCTTTATTTTATTTTGTTAATTTTATAATTCAATATTTGTATGTATATAAACATAATTTTAAAACATGTGTTAACGACTTTTATTTTTCAAATGTTTATTACATATTGAAAATAAATAGTATACAATATGAATTTATTAATATTATACCTTTCATTATATGTTAATTATTTATTTTTATTCCTTACTAAGCTTTAACTTGTTAACAAGAAGAAGAGTGCATTTTACAAGTTTTTCTTAAACGTAAAAAGGGCTCATAATATCTATGTTTTTAATTATTTTGAAATGGGTAACATAAGAAGAAATTTGATTATGTATAAAACAATTTTCAACTGTCGTTAACTCAAACCATAAATTTGTTGGCTTTTTATAATAATCATCTTAAAAATCATGACAGTGTGATTTTTTATTGGTTGAAGTTAAGCTGCTTTAACTAGTTAATGTGTAACCATTAAACGCTATAATAAGTTATATTAAAGTCTTATCTAATGTAAATGGAATAATTTTGTTATTTTTCATACATTGCTCTAATAAAATAATCATAGTCAATGAAAAATAGCACATGGATAATAAGATTTAGATTAAAAAAATATAAAATCAATATAAATTATAATAATAAATTGATTCTAATTCATTGTTCTCCATATAATAATTTTTTGACAAGTCTCTCCATAATATATATTATACTTTTTCTAATAAAAATTTAATCAATAAAATAGTTCATTGAAATTTGAATGATTTTGAATACTAGATGACTTTTTTTAATCTTTTAATATTTTTAATTAAACATTTACCAAATTTATTACCCTCCAATTGTTTTATAGTTTGAATTGAATATTATAATATTATTTAATCTTTTTAAAATCTTGATTGAATATTACTATTTTATATATAAACAAACTTTTAAAAATTCCAATTGAATATATCTCTTAATATTTATATGGAGGTGAAAAGTATATGGTTAGAGAAACAAAGTTTATGTCAACGAAAGATTCACGATTGACGATACGAAGGATCATGACCACTAAATTTATTTTGACTTTTGACTTTTGAACTAAACTAAATTGGATGAAGCTTTCTTAAGACTTTTAAACACTCATTTTGAGAGACTCAAACGGAGGCTCGAAAGTCATAAATGGTTAGAATCAGTTGAAGCAGTAAACACCCCTGGCCAAGAAGTTTGATTAATTGAAGGTAATCCATTGAATTTCGTTTCATTGCCTAATTAATTTACGTTTGCTTTAATATACTTCCTAACTTAATTAAGTTTAATTGCTCATTTGATCATGAACTAAGATAATTAAAATCATTCTTGTTTATTAATCACATATTGAGAGAACAATACTTGTCATTATATCAAATTCCTGATGACTACTTGAAGAAAATGCAATCATCAAAAAGGTTCTCGAAACTGAAGAGAGATAGCTAAGTATGAAAGAATACATAAAAATTGTTATTCTATTTCTAGTCCAGTCTCAGTATCAGAGTATTGTATACAATGAAGGGGGATTTTATAGCAGAAAACAAGGTCTACTACTTATGTATCTTGTTTCACATCAGTGAGGGTAGTGTAAATAAATAAAATGAATTGAAAGCAAAAATCAGTGACTCGGTAAAGAGATGATGTGGGGGTGTAACCACAAAACAAACACTGACCCTATCACTTTGACAATTGATCATACTATAAAGGCTCTTCACTTGATATTGCCAAGATAGAAAGAAGACGGGGAAGGGTATTTTGCAGAGAAAAAGTGTGTTCTCTGAACTTAGGACCTAATTCTCAGGATCATTCACGTAGCTTACAGTTCTGGAGATAGGGATGACTATATTTGACATACTTGGTCCAGTAAGGTCGATACTTTGTCATGGCTATCTCTAACCATGGCTTCATATTACCATTGTAGTGTACGACTGCTGCATTATCTATCTCTGAACGATCTACACTTGGATTGTAACCCAGACCAAGCACATGCCATGATTTATTTAGCGGATGTGTTAATCCATAGAATGTCATCAGCCCTGGAGGCAATGTCCCCAGCTTCCACAGCACCCTGTCTTCATTCTGGAATCAAACAGGAAGAAAAGGGCCAGTGAAAGATCAATTAAAGTAATTCACTTTAGAAGATAAAGTGCAAGTTAAAACCATTTATTGTTGTAACGTCAATGGTTGATATTGTACCAAGATGCATGCACACACATATAACAAACTATGGAAGTTGTTAACACTACAATTATCAATTTTTAAATCAACAGTTGAAACTGCACTTTATCCTCAAAAGGGCAATTCTCCGTTTAGAGGAGTTAAATCTGTCTGTGATCATTTTATTATGTAAGAATAGACACATTATGTACACCAAAGTTATGTTCAAGTACTCACCAAATTCTGCCACTTGTGATATATGCCAGTGATGTCCTTCTTTCTCCACACCTTCAAATCAAACATGTTCATCCCGTATGCCCAACCGCAAGCATTTGGATCAAAATTTTTTGCAATATGTGGATTTGAGAAGTTAAGGTACTTATCAAATCGGTGAAAACTCTCACCACATGTTTCAACAGCACCATTTACTTTTCCATGAAGATTCACAGCCCATAATCCAGTCAGATCCTTCTGGACAACAATGTCATCATCAAGAAAAAGAATCTTGTCCAATTTGGGATAAACTTGTGGAAGATAGAATCTGAGGTGGTTAAGCATTGACAGATATTTTGGATTTCTGTACTTGAGATTTGAAGCACCAGTAGTAGTTGGATGGCCTGCCTTGAAATAATACTCTTTCATTGTTGCAGATTCAAGCTGCCTCAAGACTGGGCAGTAGGATGAGTTCAACCACTTAAATTCATCAACATTTTCAACATTGATTGTAGCTTTTCCTGGAGGATTCAACAGAAACCACATGCTCATGGCTCCAAAATTTAGTTTATCAGTAACAAGGTGAAACACATGCTTTGAAGGATCCTGCAATGTTGAAGAAACGAAGATCAGACAAAAGAAAAGTTTAATTACATCATTCACTGGCTTAGGGATGCACTGTAGAAGCAAAATATGTGTGGGTAGTACAATGAAGCACAAACTATTCATCATCCACACACTGGTATGGTAAAAGACAGTACAAGTCACCTTTGCGTTCACAATAGTTGAGTTGACAACAACAGATGCAGCCAAGACATTGTCCGAGAATAGGGCATAATGATAGAGACTAGGATTATCCAAATTCTCACTTCTAGGGAATTTTCTCTTTTCAAGAGGAAGGAGGAAGTAGTCTATGGTAAGACGCATAGATAAGCAGTGAATTCCATCTGGTATGGTCTTGGCAGCCAACTGACTAAGAAACGTGCTTTGTTTTCTCAAGCCCCTAACCCGCTCATCAGCTGTTTGTAGCATTGCCCTCAGTTTCCCAGTAACCAACTTGCAGTCATACAATTGTTCTTTTGCCTTGGAAAGAACTTGGCCCATAGTTTTGATTTTTTCATGATCACTACAGATATTAAACATTTTATTGATGAAGTTGGTTAAAGCAAATTAAAACACATCCATATGGATATAACTATTGAGAAAAGTGCACATAGGTTTCATACCTCTGATTTAGATCAGCATCAGAAGTTGCCTCACCTAAAGCACGCTGACTTTCTTTTAGCCGAGATTCCAGTTCTTGGTACAGTTGATGATTGTGATTCATCTTAGCAATACTCAAGTAAACCTTAGCCATAATGATTTGGTCTCGCATCAACCTTACAGTAGAATCAGCATTTTCATTCTCATTTTCTTTCCTCCAAATGTTGTATTTCCCTAGAACTGCTGAATCAACAGATTTCGAGTGTTCAATAGCTGAATCTTCAAGTCTTACAATTACTTCATCATCCTGTTTTACCAGCTCAGCAGCACGCTTCTCCTTCCTTTTATCTATTAATTGCTGTAGAAGATATTCACAAAGAACAAACCAGGGTTTATTTTCAGAATTGATTTTGAGTTTCCAAAATGGAGTATCATCCACAGTGCAAACAACATTGAACTTTATACAAATTTTAGGGTTAATGGTGTGCAGTTGCCTTCAAGTCAGATGTGCTTTGGAAGAATTATTAGGAAGAATAAGCTTTACATTTGGGAATTATCAGCCACATGTTATAAGATAGATTATTAGGATAGTCTTGGGTTACATTACTTGAGTATACAGATTTAATTACAAGTGAAAAAAATTTAATTTGAGATTATAGGGAGCCTAAATACCACAAAGATCTTCCATAAACAGGCCAATTGAAAGCCACACAAGTCTTCTTGACACCAAAAACATAAGGTATCAGGTCATATGTCACTTGTATGTTACTTAAATTGGTCATTCTTTTTCAGTGAGACTTTTTCCTCAGATTTGGCACTCCAACAACTTTTTTGTAAATGGACAAATTAATAAATTTCCAATGTGTCAAAAATATATTCTGGCACAGCTTCATTTCAGATGGAAGTAACAAATAGGGTATCCCAGCATGTAAGGCACCATCATGTCTGGTTGGGATTTGGGAAGGTTTGTATATTATATCAGCAGTGAAGCTGTTTCCATAACAGCCACTACCTGTAACCCCAGAGTTACAAGGTGAAGCAAACTGCCCAACAATATAAATATGCATCTGTAAATGGCTACCAAAAAAACTGTATTCAAGTTAAAACAAGAAAAAAATGTCAAGAATGGTCAAGGATACTAACCCTTCTGGATAGCTGTGCAGGACTGTCAGTCCACTGAGCACGACCAACTGCATTCATAATAACTATTCAATGAGAAAGTAAACTAAGAGATAACACAAGCAAATTACGCAATAGCACGATACCACCTGAAAATCTTCCTTCCTTCCCATTTTGCTTCTCTTGTCCTACATTGTTTGCTGGTTCGTTAACCTAGAATCAAAATTAAAAAATGGACTATCATAAAGAGAAAAAATATGCCCTCTTTTTCCTTTAGAACAGGAAATAAAAGCTTCTAGCAGAAGCAAATCAGTCTTCCAAACCTGATTTGTAGCATCAGAAGCCTTTGATCCAACAACTCTCCATGAGACAGACAAATTATTTTTTCTAAAACTCTCAAGACTCAAAGGGCCCACATCATTTGTGTTGGACACAATGACATCAAGAATCTAAAGCATAACAATTATTAGAAAACAGGAAGCGAATGAACTCTTATATAAAAAAAACATTACACTCGAGATACAGAACAAGAGTGAAATTCAGCTTTCGCTTACCTCTCTCGAAAAAAGAGGTTTAAGGTCCTGCAATGACTGCCACACTCTGAATCTGGCAACCTGCAACAACCAACAACGTTAAAAAAAGAAGGCCCTATAAGCCACTTGTAAGGGAAAAAAAAAGGTAATAAGATGCATTGTGCTTCTCCATTAGCCACCTCATCTTTTGAATAAGTTAAACAAAAAAACTTCTATAAAACTTAAATGGACAAGTTGATGTAAAACTAAAATGCCAAGTTGATTTTAGCTTATTCAAGAAGTTCAATTTTCACCTTTTCTTCTCTTCTTCCATAAGTACTTACAAAAAAGTTAATCCAAACAGAGTCTTAGTCATATAACCAATAAACCCAAAAACGTACCTTTCTGCCGGCAACAGCCAAATTACCACCTTGATCTGCACAATGCACTTGAAGTAATTAATAAAACTAACTTATTGCATGGAACAAAACCTAGAGACTCTAATCACAATTTTCTCTCCCATTTCCCACTCAAGTAACGAACATTATCACACCCCATTTCATTTTAATTCCCGACAATTAAAAAGCCCCTAAGAAAGAAAAACGAGAAATAAAGCATATAATCTACAAGGAAAGAGAAAGCATTGGGAGAGTTGAGGATGTGGGATCTGTAAAACTAATAAGATGTAAGCAACAAGCAATGCCCAATTGGAAAAGTAGTGAAATTTGATTGAGATAATGAGAGGGAGAAGGAATGGGACCGTGAAGAGTGTGAAGGGGCGATGCGCAGAAGAAGAGAACGGGCACGAGGAGGCACAGAAGGAGGAAGGCAAGAAGGGGAAAATGCGATCCCTTGGTTCTGTTGTTGTTGGGTGCCATTGCGGATCTGAATCAATCAAAATGAGAGAGAAAGTGAGAGGGAGGGTTTATTGATTGATTATGCAGCAATGGTTTTACTCCAATGGGAGCAAGAGAGAGAAAGATAGAGGGAAAAAAAAAAAGTGTTTTTTGTATTGTGATGAAGTGAGAGTGTTAATGGTTGAAAGGTTTGGTTTTGTGTTGTGTTAAGAATGAGGGATGGATGCAATCTTTGGTGGGTCAATTTCCAACTTGCGCTTTCCTTCCCATTCCCCAGCTGTTTCTTACTGTCTCCTTCTCCCCTTTTTCTTTTCCTTCAATTTTTTATTTTTAAGGATCATACAAAATATATGTTCAATTATAATTTTTGTTTTCTTAATATGTATTCCATGTTTTAAGACATATATAAAATTAACTATTTTTTACATTTGAAAATTAATAAATAAAATTAAATAAATACCAATATCTAACTAAGATCTCAATTTAAATTGTATCAACTTTCTTTAAAGGAAATATTTTAATTACTCGCATAAGATAATGGATGAAGAACAGAGACACACACAGTATCATTAATTGATAATTAAGAATAGGGGGCACATATTATATTACTAAAAGTCCAAATCTAGTTTACGTGTTTAAGGACACATTTTAATGATACACTCACACCAAAAATAGTGTGTGGTCCTTCCCTGAATATCGAACCATTCCAATGTTATTTTCTGACTTCTCGACTTTGATGTAACACATGGATACGTCTCGAAGCAAATTTGTCTTGATATAGTTTGTGACGTAACTTTTTATTTCAATTGTAATTCAATATATATAGCTAACAAAGACTAGAATATGATAAAATGCTTAAAAAAAATTACGAGGGAAAAATGTTTATAGTTTGGTTTATAACACTTATATTGTGCTACAATACACTTCATTGTTTTTTATATTATAAGACCTTTTATCTATTTTTTCGAATAAAATTTTCCTAAAATCATCATTACTACAAGGTTTACTATTTATAAACATTTTTCAATTACCACCGAAAATTGATTAGCTTTCATTAATTACTGTATTAAAGGTGAAAACAGATATTTGTTTTTAAAAATAATAAAAAACATCATAAAAAATACATAATTTATATATTTTAATAAAAATTATTTTAAATTATGTAACCATTAACTTTAAACATTGATTAATCTTTACCATATGTTAATTCTACAATATTTATCACTTCTTATAGTACTTAATGCAGTGAATTTACCAAAATATATGGAGCACAAAATGTTAATTGAAAGATTAAATAAATTTAATTTAATTTTTATTTTCATAAATTTGCAAATATGTAATTTTTAATCTATTAAGTTTTAATTATTTAATTAGTTTTCCAATTTTACAAAATTAACCACTGTTTAATATTATAAATTTTTCATAAAAACATGTAGCACAAAGGTCATTTTTAAAATTATGATTAATATTTTACATAAATAAGTAATTTGAATGAATATATGATTTTTTTTATTATTATATATTAATATTAAATTAAAATTATTTTTTCAAGAAAAATTATAAAATCATGCATGCAATTGAAATTTTATCTAATTAAAAATATAATAAAATTATTTAAAATAATTTTTATAAATAAAATATATTATTATAATATATTTTATTTCTAAAAAGAGTATTTTTTAAAATCATACTTTTTAAAGAATGATGGAGACTTGAAAGAAATTTAAGGCAAAAGTTATTTATTTACATGGTAGTATACATCACCATGTCATGTGATGCCCCACTTTTTCAGGGATTATATATATATATATATATATATATATATATATATATATATATATATATATATATATATATATATATATATATATATATATATATATATATATATATATATATACACGATTGGAATATATACCACTTCACACTTAATAGTTAATATATTATTTATTAATATTTTTTTCTTTTTAATTTCATTAGTGATCACCATATTTTAAAAATATTATTTTAACTTAAAATATAAAATTTCAGATTTTAATTTAAAAATATTTTAGAATAATGACATTAAACAGGTTAAATTAATATATGGATATTTTTAGCTTAGATTTGAGAATAGATAGAAAATATATTTTTGGTTTTGGAATTCGACAACACTTTTAAATATTTGTTATTCTATATATTATTTTCTTTTATTTTGTTTATGTTTTATTTAGAGTGTAATGGAACTGTAAATAGTTCATGTATAGATTTAAACATTTTGCTCTATATTAACTGCTAAAGTATTTGTTTAATTAAGATCTAAAAGAGCAAAACAAGATTAAAAATCATATAAAATTACATAAAAAAAATACCATAATATAGAACATATTCTATATTTAAAAAATTCTTAACCAATGTTGTGGTTTCCATTTGTCCTTCCGTAAGAAGAATTCGTTCTGAATATCTATTTAAGATATGTTTTATAAACTTTTTCATAAATTCACTTCAAAAGTAAGTAAAAAAATTAAAATTAACTTATTCATAAACTAAGTTAACATATATACAATAACTAATATATATGGAAGATGTCTTATATCATTTATCTAATTTATTATTTTTAATTTATACATAAGCTAATTTTTAATTTATAAAAAGGTTAAGTTTTTTTTTCTCAGTTTTTTGACCTAAAAACTTACAGAGAAGCTCATTTAAACACATTAATAACACACATCTTGATTTTTTTATGGAATTACAGATTTCTTTGCTTCACAACCACTCAATTTGGAAAATCTTAGACAACTTAAGTCAACTCTTTAGAAGCATGGCAAATAGATAGCAAACCCTAATTAATGCCATTAAAACAAATTATTGAATTAGGTGATTAATTTTAATGTCATTTTTATAAATTGAAAAAGAAAATGACGTGTTAGTGAAAATGATTGAGATCAACATTACTCGAATCCATTAATTAAAATAAATTATGTGAGCTTGAGATTGAAGCAATAGCAATAATCTTACTCATAATGGATTTAATGGTTAGATAAATATACGAGAATATAGAAGTTCTGTCTATAATAAATTTTAAGGGTTCACGTATGTGAAATTATATCAATGTCCTTGTAAGAACAAAACTTAAGAATGTTTGTGTTATTGATTTGAGACTTTGAATATACGTTTGCAAAATGATATTTGATTCAATTTTTCAATGTCTGAAGATGTTGTTTTACAAGTTTCTTTTATTGGGAAGTTTATCAAAATAACTCATTATTATGCTTTGATTTAACATATGCATTAATTTTCTATATTAGATCATTTTGTTTAATTTTAAAATAAATATTTTAAAAATAATTTACTTTAAAAAAATCACTTATTTATGAAGTATATAAGATTTACTTATCAAAATAAAATGAAAATTATTTATTTTTAAAATAAGTAAATTAGGCAAACACATAAAAAGTTTCTTATTTTATTAGAAAAGTATATTTAAAACATAAGCACAGATAAACAGGTAAATAATGGGTTTTGCTCATTCCAGACCTTAGTTTTTTTTTTTGTCTTCCAAATTTATTAAAAAATAAATAAAAAGAGAGCAACTACCCCCATAAACATGATTAGTTTTGACTGAAAGACATGTAAAAAATATGATTAGTAATGAATTTAGGGTATATTCTGCTTGTTTTAATTTAATATTATTTATGTTGCGCATGTTTTATTTCTAAGGTGGTGTTTGGTTTGTTTAAATTTTATTTTACTGAAAATAATTCTCATTTCCGATTTATTGATTAAGATTTAGCAAACGTGTTTGATTTTACTTTTCATTTTCATTTTCAATTTCTTATTTTGACTCACCCCACTGTCCACCATTGTCGATTTTGGGATCATTGTCATTTTCAAACCTTTGGACAAGAGTTTATGATTGCTTGAATTGTGTCCATGTTAACAACTCAAGTTAGTGACGGAACTGTTAGCAAGTTTGGAGGGAGGGAGAGGAGTGATGATGTTTTGGTGGGAATTTGGTGGTTGTGGTTCGTGATGGAAACACCAAAAAAAAAAGATGATACAAATTAATTTATATGATTTAAAATTTTAAAATAAAAATAAATTTATTAATAAGATGACAAGTCAAATTGTATTTGACCGGTCCTTTTAACTCATCTTGTATTGATAATTTTAATTGATTAATCTATTTCACCTAATGCACCAAGTAGGTGAGATAAAAAGAAAAACTAATTCAATAATCTTTTTTTAATATTCATATAATTAAAAAAATATTTTAAAAAATCAGCTAATCCATTAAATCTATAACTTATATTAATTACAAAAGATGCATCTTAATATCAGGAAGTCAAATATGATTCTGATAAAAAAGCATGCTAACCTATTTAATTGTATCTCCTGAAAAAAGAAAAAGTATATTTATTTACTTAATATTTATTATAGTTGTAACCCAAACTGGCTACGTAGCACAATAATGCCTAATATATATATATATATATATATATATATATATATATATATATATATATATATATATATATATAATAAACATTTAAAATAAATTGAAATTAAAAGTGACAAAATTTGACACTGTTGTACTACATTATGTACCATGCTAGCACATCCAGAGTACTTGACAATTTATTGCATTAACATTCTTCGAGGATTTTTAATTTTTGAGTATTTTTTTTTAAATTTACCGAAATAATTAAAATTAAAAAAACTATGAAATATGAGTAAATTTTGTTTTAATTTTTTTCTATAATAAAGAAGTTTGTATTTGAAAATATGATTCTAATAAAAAATTGTGTTTTAAATACAAATTTTAATTAAAAGAATATGTTTTGAAATATCTAAACTTAAATTTTTTTAAGTAAATGTCAAAATTATCTTAAGTTTGTATTTATTTATTTTGTTTTTTTAGGTATAAAATCGTAACTACTTAAACAATATTATTTTTGTACCATTATAGAAGAAAACTTTGTAAAATATACAATTTTTCGGGAATGAAAAAAAATTAATCTATTTTAATTTGTTATTTTGTGATAAATTCTTTAACTTCTGATACTTAATTAAAAAGTTTTCATTTTTAAATATTCATAATTTTATATTTATATGATACATAAAAATGATAAAATAAAATAGGTCTAATATTTAAAAATATTTATATATTTAAATTAAAAAAATTATAATTAAAATATTTTTATTATATTAATAAATATATTATGATATTATTATATAGTAAAATATTATATATTATAATTACATATATTTATTTTTTTAATTTATCTAATAAAAATATTAATTAATAAATAAAAATTTAAAAATATTTATATAATTAAATATATATTTTAAAAATTATATAAAAATTGTAGATATAAATAAAATATTAGATAACTGATGGAAATAACTAACCTAATCTTATTATTTTTGAAGGATTAGGAGCGGTTAGCCTGACTCTGGAAAACTACTGTACTGGATGTCGAATCTCCTGGGAATGGAATCAGACATCCTCCTCTGAAACACATCACATGTTATCCAACATTCTCGTCGATGACACGTGGTATTCAAATATTCAACTCACATTCAAATCTAATGTTATTCCCAAGAACATGGTTGTGATGGAGAATAAAAAATGAAAAATAAATAAGATGATATAGTTTGTTATTAATAATTTTATTTATTATTTTGTTATTTAGAATCAAAACAAGATAAATTATATTCGTGTAAAACACCTTTAAAAATAAAATTATAATAAACAAATATTCAAAATCAAATAATGTTAAAAATAGAGAAATTGACTCAAAATTACTTATTTTTAGATGTAATATTTGTAATAATTATTATTAAAATAAAAAATATTCATAATAAATCATTTATATTATATATTTGATTATGAACAGTAAATTACTTTAACTCAAATATTAAGTTATAGCACTTTTTTACACTTATGAGTGAAGTTCTTTCTCTCCCGTTGTTTTTTTTTTTCCCTCACACGTCCACTTAATTAAACCACCATTTATTCTTTTCTTCACACATTCATTCTTCCCTTTCTTTCGTTGCTAAACCAAAAATAATAATAAAAAAATAAGAATACTAGTTGATGGTTGTCTAATTTTTAAAATTAAACCTATAATTTATATAAAAATTAAAAAATTTAAAAAAAGGCTGATACAAAGAACAAAACACAAAAGTTCAAATATCCTTTTTATAACTTTATATTACAACACAGCGATGCATGGGGTTTGTGTATGTAAAATAACTTGAATCCACCTCTTGCACTTCTGGTTTTTGAGGTGTAATCTTATGTACAATTTGACGGTCCATTGTTTTAAATTTTGAGCATAATTTATCCATGAATATTTTTATTTGATTACACTACTAATCATACAGAATCTCCAATGATTTCAAACTTTCAGCATGGTTATTAGAACTGATATTATGAAATGGATCCCCGAGATTTTTTTGTTTAAGTTTTTGGTCAACCAGTGAGGCATACATACATATATATTCATCATTATTTATATGCTCATTCCTTTTGTGCTAAGTTCTGTGTGTGTGCATTGCCAAAAATACTTATGATATCAACCCTTCACATGCACTTTTGGTGCCTCAGGTGTCTGCAACTTCTTATGTGTTCTTATCCATATATGATATATGTGCTGTGTTACATTCTACATTAACCACAACACTCTCACACAGTTTGAACACAGAGAGAGTTTTAGAGGAACTAAAAGAGAGTGAGGAGAGGATATATGTAGGGATATCGGTAGAGGGAGGGTTGAACTGAAGAGGATTGAGAACAAAATCAACCGGCAGCTTACTTTCTCCAAAAGAAGGAATGGTTTGATGAAGAAAGCAAAAGAACTCTCAGTGCTCTGTGCTGCTGAGGTAGCCCTCGTAGTTTTCTCAATTATTGGCAATCACTACACCTTTCCATGTGATGGTGCAAGTTTTCTTTCTCTCTCTTTCATTCAGCTTTTTTTTTTCTTTCAAATTAATATTTCCATGTACTCAATTTGGTTTTGATGTCTTTTGCTTTCTTCTCTCCCTAATTAATGCACACCCTTTTACAGATATGTTCACTATTTCCTTTTTTTTTTAAAAAAACTTCACCTCAGTTGATGTATTTAACTGCACACACCCCTTTAACACATTTTCACCCTTACTATTTGTGTGGCTATTTCATTCTAACCATTCATGGTTTCTATACATATATATGTGATCTGACACCCCTCACACTTGGTTCTTTTTCTTGATCTTGGGCACTCTATGAGTCTACTTTTTGTGGGGATTCTCTTATGGAGGAAGAATCATTTGGAGAAGAGTAGCATCACCTACACTGCTTCTTCTCGGTGACATACATAACCCTTCTCTCTCTCTTTCTATAAACTTGGATAAAACATCGGCTTTCCATTTTCATGCTTTACTAATGGAACAGTACAATTTATGTATGTTTTTCTTTGTTACAAGCAGAGTAAGATAAAGGAAAAGTCTTTGTTATTGAGAACGAAAATCATTTAAAAATGTTTTCCTTTCATTTTTCAATTTCATAATGCTAATTCATATAAATTGTACATAATTTGAAGTACATAATACGGAAATTGTATGTTTAGCAAAAAAATATGATGAATTTGAAGTACTTAGTTTTTAACCAAAAAATTCAGTATTTGTTTTTGCATATTTGTCCATTTGGTATCTAACACATTGATCATAAACTATGTCATATAATTTTAGTATTGTTTCTTACCATGTTTCTTTTCATTTTCAGTATTATCAAAACCTATGAACGATACTAGAGGCACCCTTTACATGGAGATGACATAGTTAAACTTGAAGATCATGTATGTGTGTAATATTCCATTTTCTTAATTTTATACCTTAAGGACACTTGTATTAACTTAAATTCAATAACAAATTAAAACAAATTCAATTTTCCAAAATTTAGAATGATCACATTTATTGGTTTCTTATATTTGAAAAGGTAAAATGGCAACTTTGATAATTTATAATATATTGATATTTTAATCTAATATTAAAATTTATAAAAATTAAATTAAAATATTTAAAAGTTATTAAATATGATTTAACCCCTTATATTTATATAAAATATAACTTAGTCTCTCTTTATATATAAACTTATTTAAAATAAAAAATATAAAATACGATTTTCTTTTATTATTTATTTATTAATATTTAAGGAATAGAAAATACACACTTTAATAAACTAGAAAAACAAAATCATTTAGTGTATTTGAAATGAACCTTTCTAACAAATATAAAAAGTAACTATTTCAATATTTTATATTATAATCATTTTTTTAATCTGTACAACAAGGCTATAGGTAAAAAGTTAATTGGTTTTAATCATAGGAACACGGATATTGGGTGATTATGCCTGAAATTTTGTTTCATTTTTAGATGCAAATTATGATTGAGCAAGTGGATGAACTTAGCAAAAGGTAAGAAGGATGACATTATTTATCTTATAATAATTTTTCTTTTGTAATCTTTAATTGAAACAATATTTTAGAAATAATTATTGTCTAAGCAAGGTTCTCTCAGTTATTTAATCTGAAGATTAATGTACTAACTCTTGGTCTTCTTGTTCCTCTTGCAGGAACGCCACCTTGAAAACCTGAATAAGGAACTTAGACTCCAGGTTTTGCAATGCCAATCATATATTTTTGATAAATGATAATTTGACAACCCAATTTTATACAATTTTAACAAACAACCCACTTTTAATATTATAATAATAATTTTAACTTGTTTTCATTTTTATTAAATCTCTTTTATGATTATTATATTAATAAAATGGGTTGTTTTTTGAGTGGTTTGTTATTATGGTTGTCCAAATATCAGCACCCTATATTTTTCTTGCAACAAAAAAGCTGATGAGTTGAGTCAAACTCACGAGTTGACAATTTCGAGACCTAAAATAACTCTTGAGAAGATACTTATTAGATATGAGTTTGATGCTTATCAAACAGATTAATCTTATCAGTCTTCACAATGAATCATATTAATGAAAACACATTTCATTGTACGTAAATTTGTATTTTATTTTTTCAACTAAAAACTAAATAAATTACATTTCATTTGTTCATTTCATGCTTAATTCAACACGGATAACTCTACTATTGCAATCACGGATGAGTGGCCAGAGGGTCGGAACACAGTCGCACTAGCGCGAATACTGAGAAAGAGGAGAGCGTCGGTGAGAATGAGGTTAAGGGGACTCTGGCCAGGGTAGGGACAAACAAGTCCTTCTGTCCACATTTGGGAATGGGTGGTGGGCCAGGATAGCGGGTGAGAGTGGAAGAACTGCTCAACTGCAGCAAGGAGCTTATGCTGGGTTGGTGTTCCCCAAGCTCTATCCACCTGCCAACTGGGGAAACAAACATTTGGGAATGGGCGGTGGGCCAGGAGAGCGGGTGAGAGTGGAAGAACATGCTCAACTGCAGCAAGGAGCTTATGCTGGGTTGCTGCTCCCCAAGCTCTATCCACCTGCCAACTGGGGAAACAAATAGGGTGGAATGCGTGGCAATGCTAAAAGGAAGAAGAGCCCCAGGCCTCTTCTTAGCAATTCTTCAAGTGAAGGAGCTAGTGAGGATGATGGGGTAGGGGGACTCGAGGCCGCAGGCGAGGAGGATGGGTCTACTGGAGAAGGAGAGGGCGAAAGCTGAAGCTGGGTCTGTCAGATCCGCAGGAGTCGACCTAGTTCTCAATGCTCAAGCTGGGTACGTTAACACTGAGAATGACTCAGGAGATGGCGGTGGCGGGTCTGGGGGAAAAGAGGTATGCGCTGGGGAAGTGCGACGTGGAACGATTCCACAATCTGGTGATGTCAGCCACATCCACTCTAGTTATGGTCTGCGTCCAGGCGTACGTCGGGACAAACACTCAGAAGTCCAAGGCACACGTGGTCGTCGGGGTGGCAGAGAATAATATCGGGAGAATAGTGGACTCAAGTTGCAAGGTGTCGCAAGGGGACGAAGTGCTTGTGTGCAACGATTACAAGAGGGCATACACGACGCATCTCGCATGGCTAGTAGGGCCCCTTTGCGCCCGGGAGTACTAAGATCTGGTCGCAGAGGCGAAGGGTTTATGGCGGAACGACACTCCCTTCCCTCAACGCGGTAAAGGTCTTTAAGATATGCCCTGCGCCGGACGTGTCTCCCGCCACCGCCATGATGGAGAGGATTAAGTAGATCGGTGACGGGAACGTGGTGGACTCAGACATCATGTTGGAGTTCGAAGAGGAGTTGAGGAGCCAAGTCTTGCGGGCCTACATCCGCTCCTGCATTGGCAGGTTGAAGTTGAGGCTGGACGTGGACAGACCGTTGTGGTTCGGGAAGTACCTGAAGGAGGAGATTGACGTCGTGCCTTCTACCGAGATCCAAACACACCTCAAGTGGGAGGGGACATGGGAGATGCCAGACATATCACCGTACGGATCGCACTGGAAGCACCTTCGATTTGGGGCAGACAATATCTGGGAGTCGACGGCCGAGCCCAACTCGGAACATAAGCGCAACATGTTAATGAGGCTAACCTTCGTCCCATGACAGGTAGCCAGACTTTGAACCCAGAGCACGTCATCAAGATGTTTGTCAAGGAAGAGGGGCACAAGGACCTTGCACGGGCCTGGATGGATAGGGTTGTAGAGTAGGTCGCGATGAAACACCGTCTTACATGATTGAATAAGAGATCGACACGAGGAATGTCAGAGGGTCAGAGCTAACCAAGGCCCAGACGGATGATAACGCTCTACTACAACTTCGAAATCTTCAGTGGTCTACAAAGATGCCAACCGAGCCACAGCGGATCAGCCACAACCTCTGATATTACTGCTGGAGGGGGATTTACAGGAGACGTGAGTTCCACCTATATCATATGGGTAATACTTTTTATCTTATATATAATTCAAATTTTTTATTCTTATTCAACGTTATAATTCAAATTTTTCATTCTTAATCAACGTTTGTAATTCAAAATTTTCATTCTGGACTTGGTTTCACTGGCCCGTATACTGAGCAAGAAGAGAGCGTAGGTGAGAATGAGGTTAGGGAGCTCTGGCCAGGGTGGGGACATACCAAGTTCTCCTGTCAGACTACGGGTACTTTCTAGGCTCAAGGAAAGTGGTCGGCGGATTGTCGAGCGTCTACTACGTGTTCGCCCATCGCCAGCCCATATCTGGGGATGGGCGGTGGGCCAGGAGAGTGGATGAGAGTGGAAGAATATGCTCAACTACAATAGGGAGCTTAAGCTGGGTTGCTGCTTCCCAAGCTCTATCCATTGCCAATCACAGAAACAAACAAGGTGGAATGTGTGGTAATGCTCGAAAGACACAAAGCCCCAGGCCTCTTCCTACAGTTCTTCAAGTGAAGGAGCCAATGAGGATGATTGGGTCGATGGACTCGAAAGCGCAGGCGAGGAAGATGGGTATGCTGGAGAAGGGAGAAGAGGACGAAAGCGAATAAGATGGGAGTGAAGCTGGGTCTGTCAAATCCGTGAGAGGTGGCCCAGTTCTCAACGCTCAAGCTGGGTACATTGACTGACACAGAGAATGGACTCAGGAGATGGCGGTGGCGGGTCTAGATGAAAAGAGGTACGCGCTTGGGAAATGCGACGTGAAACGATTCCACCAGCTGGTGATGTCAGCCACATCCGCTGTGGTTGGGGTCGGCATCCAAGCGTGCGTCGGGGCGTCGGGGCGTCGGGACACGCGCTCAGAAGTCCAAGGCACACATGGCCGTCGGGGTGGTAGAGAATAATATCGGGAGAATATTGGAGTCCCTCTATCCTGCCAGCTCCTGCTAATATATTTTAGAAATGATCCGAAAGAAATGGTTTATTTTTAGTAATAAGATCTGTATAGAAAATAAATTTTAAAAAGAGGTATGTGAATAGGAAAAATTTGAACGAGAAAAAAAGATACTAATTAATTCTAGCAGAATTATAAAATAGGTAGGAATTTTAATTAGTTTTTTTACATCAATTAGGTAAGTGATATTGTCAATTTAAAGGTTTGATTTTTCTCTCTAAATAATTTAGATAATTCTATATTTTCTTAACTTTATAATTATTTATCTTCTATTTTTAAATATTTTTAAAATCTTTTAAGAATTCTAGATATTACTTATATGAAGTTCCTTTTTAAAATTTAGGATTTTATTTTCTAGATCTTTCTAGAATTTGCATAATATTTCAACACTCCTCTTTGATACAAATTCCTTTAACTCCAAAACTTTAGAATTATTTATCTTCTATTTTTAAATATTTTTAAAATCTTTTAAGATTCTAGATATTACTTATATGAAGTTCCTTTTTAAAATTTAGGATTTTATTTTCTAGATCTTTCTAGAATTTGCATAATATTTCAACACTCCTCTTTGATACAAATTCCTTTAACTCCAAAACTTTAGAATTATTTATCTTCTATTTTTAAATATTTTTAAAATCTTTTAAGATTCTAGATATTACTTATATGAAGTTCCTTTTTAAAATTTAGGATTTTATTTTCTAGATCTTTCTAGAATTTGCATAATATTTCAACACTCCTCTTTGATACAAATTCCTCTAACTCTAAGTATGTGTTTAAACTTGGTTCTTGGTAGTGCCTTGGTAAATATGTCTGCAATTTGTTCTTTTGTAATGCAATACCCAAGTTAAATTTGTTTAGCCGCTTCAGCCTCTCTGATGAAGTGATATTTAATAATTATATGTTTTGTTCTTTGATGATAAATTAGATTCTTTGTCATTGTTATCACTGACTTGTTACCGCAGTAAATTGTAGTAGATCCATTTTGTTGTTTTCTCATCTTTTCAAGTATTATTTGGAGTCATATAACTTGACTTGTAACTTCGGCTGATGCCATGTACTCTACCTCTACTGTTGATTGTGTTCCTGTTATTTGCTTCTTAGATGCCCAAGAGAAAAATCTCAATCCAACTGAGAAGGCATAACCTAATGTACTCTTCATGTCATCTATAGATCATGTCCAATCACTACCAGTGTAGCCAATCAACTTTGAGTCGTTCATAGTTTTGTACCATATACCAAAGTCCTTTGTGTCTTGTAGATATCTTAAAATCCTTTTTGTTACTCCAAAGTGAATTTGACTTGATCTTTGCATGAACCTTGATAGAAGGCTTGTAGCATACATGATATCTGGTCGTGTACTCTAAGATATAGTAAGCTTCCAATCAAACTTTTGTAGCGTGATGCGTCAGCTTCTAGTGCTTCATCATGTTTTTGTAACTTCTCATTTGTCACGAGTGGAGTAGCCACAAATTTTCAACCATACATCTTGAATTTTTTTAATAAAGCCTCAGTGTATTTCTTTTGGGAGATAAATATACCTTCTTTTTGTTATCTTACCTCTATGCCGAGAAAATAATTCATCAAGCCAAGGTTGCTCACGTCAAATGTTTTTATCATGTCTTCTTTGAATTCTCTTATCATTTCTTTATTGTTTCCTGTGTAGAAAAGATCATCTACATATAGAGAGATAATGAGGATATCATATTGATCTTAAGTCTTGATATATAGTGTTGGCTTAATCTTGCTCCTCCTAAAGTACTGATTAATTTTGTTGTACCATGCTCGAGGAGCTTGCTTCAAGCTATATAATGCTTTTCTTAGCCTTAGCACTTTAACTTCATTTCCTTTGCTTATAAAGCTTTGTGGTTGCTCCATGTATCTTCTTCTTGTACACCATTTAGAAAGGCTGATTTAACATCCAATTGGTAAATGCTCCATCCTTTTTATGCTGCAAGATCTATTAAAGCTCTAATTGTATCTAGACGAGCAACTGGGGTAAATGTCTTATTATAGTCGATTTCAGGTTGTTGTGAATAGCCCTTTGCTACCAACCTAGCCTTGTGTTTTTGTATGGTGTCGTCAGGATTGAGCTTTGTTTTATAAATTCATTTTACTCCAATTACGTCCTTTCCTTGTGGGCAATCTACTAGTTCCCAAGTATTATTCTTTTCTATCATTTTAATTTCTTCCTCCATTGCCTTGATCTAGACTTTTTGCTTTGTAACCTCTTCATATCATATATGCTCAAGCATTACCATGTTGCATGTTTCATATATATCCACCAAGGATTTTAATCTCCTAGGAGTATATTCTGATGAAAAATCTTGTTGTGCAGATAAAGGAAGTGTACCTGGATCTTCTGCCACTTCTTGAATTTCTTCTTGGGATGGTTGTACTGGAAGGAAGATGTTGTTTCTCATGATTCTTCCTTTTTTCCAATTCCAAGAAACATTTTCATCAACCTCAACATCTCGACTGATGGTGAGCTTCTTTGTCTGCAAGTTATAAACTCTATAGCCTTTTTGTTTGTGTGCTATATCCCAAGAAGATTCCTCGTATAGTCTTATCTTCTAATTTGTGCCTTTTCTGATCTGGAACATGTATGTAACAAATGATCCAAAAACTCTTAAGTGTTTAGATGATGGTTTTGGCCTACTCCAAGCTTCAATTGGAGTCTTGTCTTGAACTACCTTAGTTGGACATCTATTGAGTATATACAAGGCAGTGTAGACTATTTCTGCCCAAAACATATTTGGTAAGCCTTTCTCCTTCAGCATTGATCCTGCATTTCCATCACTGTGTGATTCTTTCTTTCTAATACACCATTTTGTTGTGGTGTATATACAACTGTAGGTTGTTTTTTTATTCTTTCATCTTCACAGAACTTATCAAACTCATGTGAGTTATATTCTTTACCTCGATCACTTCTACGAACTTTTATGTGTCTTCCACTTTGTTTCTCGACGAAAGCTTTAAAATTCTTGAATATTCCAAGGACTTCTGATTTTTCTTTGATGAAGTAAACACAGGTCATTCTAGAAAAGTCATCAATGAAAAGGACAAAGTATCTGTTATTGTTTAGTGACGGTGTCCTCATCGGTCCACAAATGTCTGTATGAATTAATTCCAGCAAACCTTTTGTTCTCCATGCTTTGTTGGTCGAAAATGGTAATCTTTGTTGCTTCCCGAGAAGACATCCTTCACAAGCTTCATTATTCTCTTTCAAGTATGAGAGACCTCTCATCATATTCTTCTGATGCAGTAGCTTCAAAACCTGAGTGTTGAAGTGTCCAAACCTTTTATACCAAAGCCAATCAACTTTAACTTTCATGGCAATATTAGTAGTATATTTGAAGCTTATAGGAAAACTTCTATTTCTTTTCTCCATTTTTACTTCTCCTATCTCTCGTCTTTTATTGTCATAGATTTTGCATGTATCTCCTTTGAGTGAAAAGTATAGCCTTTCTCCATTATTTGTCCAATGGTCAAGAGATTTTCTTTAAGATTGGGAATGAGTAAGACATCTTTAATAAGTCTCGTACCTTTCTTAGTTTGCATTGCAATGGTGTCTCTCCCTTTTGACTCTACTAGTGTGTAATTTTCCAATCGTACTTTCATTTTGACTGAGTCGTCAATGTCCCTAAATATGTTTTCGTCTTTGGTCATATGAATACTGCATCCGTTATCCAAATACCAATTTTCGCTTGTTTCATCATTGGAGTCTCGGGTAGCATAAAAAAGATGTTGTTGAAGGTCATGTTTCTTCAGCAAAATTTGTTTGATGCTTGTTTTTTATGCAACAATTTTTCTCCACATATTTGCTGAAGGTCATGTCTCAAGCTCCTTCATACTCAATAATTCAAACTCACGTCTTGGAGTTTGAAGTTTAATGATGTGTACCTTTACACTTCCTTAAAACTCCTCCTATAGTGTGCTCTACGCTTCTTTGACACTTGTGGCATCTATAATTCTTGGAAAAGTTACATCAACCACAACTTGTTGTAGAAAGTATAATGCCCTTGAATATTTTTGCTTGTTCTCTTCCAACTAGTTCTTCTGAGCCAAAAGTTTACATTTTAATGCTCCAAAAGTCATAGTTTTCTCCTGTGAATATAGGTAGAGGGATAAATGAATAAGAATTGACATTGGCCATTGGTTGGAATTAGTATGAAATATAGTAGGACTTTTCGAAGGTGTTTGGATTATATATACGCCCAATAGATGATCAAACGTAGCTCTGATACCACTATTAGTATTTTAGGAAGGATAAGAAAGATGGTTTGATGTTTAGTAGTGAGATTTGTGTAGAAAATAATTTTTAGAAAGAGGTAGGCAAATAGGAGAAGGTTTGTATGAGAGAAGATAATAATTAAGCTTGGAAGTGTTACAAGATATATAGGAGTTTGTATTAGTTTTTTCACACCCATTACATAAGTGACATTACATATTTATAGATTTGATCCACCACCTCTTAAATATTCTAGATAATTCTAGATTTTTTTAACTCTAGAATTATCTATCTTCTACTTTCAAACATTTCTAGAATCTTCTAATGATTCTAGATATTACTCATATGAAGTTCCTAATTCTACTATAATCTGAGATTTTATTTTCTAGATCTTTCTATAATTTGCATCATCTTTCAACACATCCTCAATGCGACAAAGGTCTTTAAGATATGCCCTACGTCGGATATGTCTCACGCCACCGTCATGATGGAGAGGATCAAGTTGATTGGTGATGGGAAAGTGATAGACCCATACATCATGTCAGGGTTCAAAGAGGAGCTGAGGAACCAAGTCTTGCGGGCCTACATTCACTCCTACACTAGTAGGATAAAGTTCAGGTCAGGTGTATAGGTTGTCGTGGTTTGGGAAGTGTATGAAGGGGGGGATGGACGTCATGCCTTATCCTGAAATCCACACATACAACCCATTGCACTGGAAGGACTCTAGGCTTGGGACAAACAATATATGGGATGACCAAGCCAAACTTGAGAGATAAACGCAACATGTTAATGAAGCTAATCTTCGATGAAGAGTGCAACATGCCATGTAGCCAGACTTTGACCCTAGAGCACATCATCAAGATGTTTGTCAAGGCACAAGGACACTGCATGAGCGATCTTCTCATAGAATCTAACAGATAGGCAGGCGCAATCCTGGATGGAGAGGGGCATAAAGTAGGTCGTGATGAAGCACTTGCCTTACATGATTGGGCAGGAGATTGACACGAGAAATGCTAGAGTGGCAGAGCTATCCAACCCCTAGAGGGAATCATGACCATAACGCTCTACTACAACTTCAACATCTCTGGGTGATCTGCGAAGATGCCCGCCGAGTCGCAGCAGATGAGCCACAAGCTTTAATACCACTATTGGATCTTTTGAGGGGGATTTAATAGGTAGAGACAACACCAATGAGACATGAGCTCAACCCACATAATGGATTAACATCGCTCTCAACCCAAAACCTTAAAGTATTGGGTTATGGGTTATACTTCCTTATATATTCTCAACTTTCTCATTTTTATTCAATGTGAGACTTAGACTCACACTTGTATCTGGGACATGGCTGAATTCAAAGACTTCATTGGATGTGTATCCAAATGGCTCCATGGCTGCAATCACGGACGAGTGGCTGGAGGGTCTGAACGTAGTCGCACTAGCGCGGATACTAAGCAAGAGGAGAGCATTTTTGAGAATGAGGTTACATGGGGCTCTAGCCATGGTGGGAGTCAGACTACAGGTGCTTTCTAGACCCGAGGAAAGTGGTTAGCATATTGTCAAGCATCTACTTCGTGTTCACCCACATTTGGGAATGGGCAATGGGCTAGGAGAGTGAGTGGGAGTGGTATAACATGCTTAATTACAGTGGGGAGCTTATGCTGGGTAACTACACCCCAAGCTCCATGATGTTGATAGTGAAGATCTTGAAGATTTAATGAAGTCAAAGAATTTATGGAATAAGGGATGTAGTGTTTAGTGAGTCTGCATAAATATAAGTAGGTATAATCATCTAACCATTTCTAAAGGAATAAAAATGCCTCTAATCATTTTAATATGTTAAAAATTCTTTAATTGGTTAATATGCTCTTAAATCTTGGATTTAACTGATATATTTACAGATTAATCGATTAAAATCAGTTAAAAATACTTCGATATAATTTTAACTTATATATTTTCGAAATAATCGATTAAAACCACTTAAACTATATGTAAGTATGTTTTGTCACAGTTTTAATAGATACATATTTGAATTAATCGATTAAAAACACTTAAAAAACTTTAGAAAATGTTCTGTCAATATTTTAATCGATTAAATTTTGAATTAATCGATTAAAATCACTTAAGAATTTTTTAGTAACTGTTTTAGTTGATTAAACCGCGTTTTTATTAGTTAAAATATTTCTGGAAAGTGTTGTAGAACATTTTAATTGATTAAATGATATTTTCATCAGTTAAAATAGTTAGAATCAAGATTTTTTAATCGATTAAAAGACAAATAAAATGATTAATTAAATCAGTTTGTTAGAAAAATCTCTGTGTAAACATATTTGCTTCAACATTTTAAAAATACATATTTTAGAAATCATTCAAGCAATCAATAGAGATCTTTTCAATAGAAAAGCACGTTATTTTCAATGGAAATTTTTGAAGTTCTTTCTTGAGGCATTTTTGTATTCTTGCTTGCGAAGAAACTCATTCTACAGGGGATTTCTGCATCTACATAATTGGGTTTGATTGTTCTAATTTCTTCATTTTTTCATTTCTATTTCAATTCTGTATTGTCTTGGCGTCTAGAAGATTGAACACTAGTTCTGCAACTGGAATTTGGTTACAGGTTGGATTCAAGAACTAGAATTTGGTTCTTGGTGCATGTTTGGTTCTACAATTGGAATTTGGTTGTAGGTTGGATTCGAGAACTGAAATTTGGTTATTGGTGCATGTTTGGTTCTGCAACTGAAATTTGATTGCAGGTTGGGTTCAAGAACTGGAATTTAGTTCTTGGTGCAAGTTGAATTTTCTATAATTTGATTATTAAATCAAATTATTCAATCTAGTGGAACTCAACTGGAATTTGGTTGAGAACTGAATGTAGCCGAGTGGTTTGGGTGAACCAATATAATTCTTGGTGTTTCTTTTCCTCTTTCATCACTTTCTTTAATTCTGCTTGAACTTTATTCAATTCAATTTCGTTTTCCTGGTTCAATATTTGATTAGATTTCTTAATCTTTGAAATTTTTAATCTATATCTGTAAGTAGTGAAAAAGTTTGTAAAAATCAATTCACCATCCCCTCTTGATCTCAGCCTATAATTCTAACAATTGGTATAAAGAGTAGGATCTTGAAAGTTACTCAAGATTTACGGTCCTAGAACTTTTTTTTTTCAATGGTTGAAAACAAATTACATTTTTCTGAAAGAGCTTCTATCAGGGGACCTTCACTGTTTTGTGGTACATATTATCAATTTTGGAAGATCAGGATGAAGATTTTTATTGAATCCATTGATAGGAACATTTGGAATGTTATTGAATTAGATCCATTAATTACTGATAAAGAATGGTCTGCATTAAATGATGATGAAAAGAAGAAAACTCAGTATGACTGTATTGCAAAAAAATATCATAACATCTGCTCTTAACATGGATGAATTTTTCATGGTATCTTAGTGTAAATCTGCTAAAGAAATGTGGGAAGTTCTTGAGGTGACCCATGAAGGAACAACTGATGTAAGAGAGCTAGAAAGCACACCCTCATCAGAGAATATGAGCTATTCAAGATGCAATCTAGAGAAAGCATTGTAGATGTGCAAAAGCGTTTTACTCACATCATCAATCACATAATGAGTTTTGGTAAGATATTTTATAAAGAAGAATTGGATATTAAAGTACTAAAATGTCTTGACAGGTCTTCACAGCTCAATGTCACAACAATCTCAGAATCAAAGAATTTATCCACCATGACCACAACTTCTCTATTTGGAAAACTCAGGGAATATGAGATGGAAATCAACAGGTTCAATGAGCAAGAAATTTCAGAGAAGAAGGTGAAAAGCATAACACTTAAGGCAAGTGGTAAAGAAGAAGAATTAGAAGAAGAAAGTGAAAATCTTCATCTATTGGTCAAGAAATTTAATATATTTCTCAAGAAGAGGAATAAAGATAAAATTGTACAGAAACGGTATGTAAAGGAACCTGATTCAAATTATTTTAATTATAAGTGTTATGGTTGTGGTAAACAGGGGCATGTGAGAATAAATGTCTTGAGAATCAAGACAAGAAAGGAGAAAGATGAAAAATAAAGTCTATATTGCTTGGGATGATAATCATACATCATCAACAAAAAATTCAAATGAAGAAGCAAATTTGTGTTTGATGACTAATCTTGACTCTCCAACGAGTAGTAATCTTTTAATTGCAGGATTTTGGATATTAAATAGTCAATCAAGGATTGAAAATCAAGATTCATTACATGCTAAATCCAGAAATAGTATTAAAAGCTTTGTTGACCAATCAATCCTACTCTCCTAAAATAAAAAATTAGCTAATACATTATGCAAACCCACTGTCCAATTCCAATACAGCTGTAGCCAGTCAAGAGGACATTTCAATTGGAAAAAGCTGGAAACACAACAGGATTCCATTAACTATTTCACGGAATTCATCTTTGAGTATGGGAGCAGGTAGCTTGTCTCCAAGATGAAGGAGTCAAGGTGTCCAAGGAGAATATCTCTGAACTGCCAGATTTCAACAAGATCCAATTATTCAGATCTTGTCTTTGAGACTGCAATGACTCGGTCAAAATTTTGAATGTAGGGAAGATGAGGCTAGAACAGAGGTTGCTAGCCTTCATCATTGCATGGGTGCTTACATCCAAGGGGAGCAATCCGGTCTCTAATTTATCTTTCAAAGTCGGGTTCTGCTTCTTTAACTCCTATTTACTCTCTTCTTCTTCTTCTTAATCACTCCTTCTTCTCTTTTTTTAACCACCCGATCTTTCTCTCAAATTCTTGTTGCAAGAATGTTCAAGAGATCAAGATACAAGAGATAGAAAAATAATAACCATTTTTTTATCACAACTCTCTTCTTTTAATTTTTCTGGATCTGTAATATTTTACTGACTTCTAACACTTTGAACCTTTAATATATTATTCATGCTTGATTTTGATTAACTGTTTTTTTCTCTATTTTTGATGAAGTCAAAGGGGGAGAAATAAATATTGAATAAACTCACTAACACAGAAACACCTAGTGACTTCTCTACAGGATTCAAAAAGGAGTTTGTGTTCATCAAATAGGAGGAGATTGATATTGATAGTGAAGATCTTGAAGATTTGATGAAGTCAAAGGGTTTATGGGATAAGGGATGTAGTGTTTAGTGAGTCTGCATCAATATAAGTAGGTATAATCATCTATCCATTTTTACAGCATGAGGTTCTATCATTTGAAAGGAATAAAAATGCCTCAAATCATTTTAATTTGTTAAAAATCCTTTAATTGATTAATATGATCTTAAGTCTCAGATTTAACTTATATATTTATAGATTAATTGATTAAAATCAGCTAAAAACACTTTTGATACATTTTTAACTATTGTATTTTTGAAATAATTGATTGAAACCTCTTAAACTAAGTGTAAACATGTTCTGTCGCAGTTTTAATCGATACATATTCGAATTAATCGATTAAAAACACTTAAGAAGCTTTAGAAAATGTTCTGACAGTATTCTAATCGATTAAATTTTGAATTAATCGATAAAAATCACTTAAGGATTTTTGAGTTACTATTTTAATCGATTAAACCGTGTTTTTATCAGTTAAAATATTTCTGGAAAGTGTTGTAGAACATTTTAATCGATTAAATGATATTTTCATCAGTTAAAATAGTTGGAATCAAGATTTTTTAATCGATTAAAAGACGAATTAACCGATTAATTAAACTAGTTTGTTAGAAAAATCTCTATATAAACAGATTTGTTTCAACGTTTTAAAAATACATCTTTTAGAAATCATTCAAGCAATTAATAGAGATCTTTTCAAGGGAGAAACATGTTATTTTCAGTGAGAATTTTCGAAGTTCTTTCTTGAGACATTTTTGTTTTCTTACTTGCGAAGAAAGTCATTTTGTAGTGAGATTTCTGCATCTACATAATAAGGTTTGATTGTTTTAGATTCTTCATTCTTTCATTTCTATTTCAATTTTGTATTTTCTTAGTGCCTAGAAGATTGGGCACTGGTTCTGCAACTGAATTTGGTTGCAGGTTGGATTTAAGAACTGAAATTTGGTTCTTAGTGCAGGTTTGGTTCTACAACTGAAATTTGGTTGCAGGTTGGGTTCAAGAATTGAAATTTGATTCTTAATGCAGGTTGGATTTTCTGTAATTTGATTCTATGAATCAAACTATTCAATCTAGTGAAACTTAATTGGAATTTGGTTGAGAACTAGATGTAACCTAGTGGTTTGGGTGAGTCAGTATAATTCTTGGTGTTTTTTTTCCTCTTCCATCACTTTCTTTAATTATGCTTGAACTTTATTTAATTAAGTTTGGTTTTCCTGGTTTAATACTTGATCAAATTTCTTAATCTTTGAAATTGTTAATCTATATTTGTAAGTTGCGAAAAAATTTATAAAGATAAATTCATCCCCCTCTTGATCTCAACCTATAATTCTAACACTCAATCCACCTGCCAACCATGAAAATAAACAAGGTGGAATGCGTGGCAATGCTTGAAAGAAAAAAAGCCCCAAGCCTCTTCCTAATAGTTCTTCAAGTGAAGGAGCTAGTGAGGATGATGGGGTCGGGGGACTCGATAACATAAGCGAGGAGGATGGGTCTGCTGGAGAAGGAGAAGTGGCTGAAAGCGAAAAAGACGGGCGTAAATCCAGGGAGGCGCGAAAAAGACGGGCGTAAATCCAGGGAGGCGACTTAATTCTCAATGCTCTGGGTACATTGACTCTAAGAGCGACTTAGGAGATGGCGGTGACGGGTCTGGGGAAAAGAGGTACACGCTTGGGAAGTGTGACACGAAATGGCTCCACCAGCTGGTAATGTCAGCCACATCCGCTCTGGTTGGGGTCTGCGTCCAAGCGTGTGTCGGGACACCCGCTCAGAAGTCCAAGGCATACATGGCTATCGGGGTGGCAAAGAACAAGTGACAAAGAACAATATCGAAAGAATCATGGAGTCGAGCTGCAAGGTGTTGTAGGGGGACGAAATGCTCATGTGCAAGGGTTATAGGAGGGCGTACATGACACATCTTGCATGACTGGTGGGGCCCCTTTGCACCCAGGAGTAGCGAGATCTGGTCGCATAGGCAGAGGGGATCGCAAGGCCAACCGAACATATAATTGTATGACCCATCACACTGGAAGAACTCTGGACTTGGGGCAGACAATATCTGGGAGTCGACGACAAGCCCAACTTGGGACATAAGCGATACATGTTAACAAGGCTGATCTTCGACGAGGAGTGCCTCATGCTAGGTAGCCAATCTTTGAACCTAGAGCACGTCATCGAGATGTTTGTCAAGGTAGAGGGGCACAAGGACCCTACACGGGCAATCTTCTCATCGAATCTAACAAAAAGGCAGGCACATTCTTGGATGGAACATGATTGGGTAGGAGATCGACATGAGGAATGCCAGAGTGGTAGAGCTAACCAAGCCCTCAGAGGAAATTAGGATGGTAACGCTCTACTACAACTTCGCCATTTTTACGATAGACAATAACAGATCAGCCACAAGCGCTCTAATATCACTGTTGGATCTTCTGAGGGGATTGACTAGGAGAGACAACACCAATGAGAATTGAGCTCAACCCACATAAGGCATTGACACTTATCTCAACCCAAAACCTTAAGACATTGAGTTATAGGTTATATTTCCTTATATGTTGCTCAACTTTCTCACTTTTACTCAATGTAGGACTTAAACTCACACTTGTATTTTCTAACATATTATTCCTCAAATTAACCAGATATATGCATGTACAATTATGTGGCATGTGTTCTAAAGTAGTTTCAAATTAAGTTATAGCTTCTGTTTCTGATTCAACCTAACATATTGGGTATGATTATTTTAGAATATTTTTTTTCTTAAATTAATAATAGTTTTCAAAATTAGCACTTGAAAATTTTAGATGCTCGTTCCAATTAATAACATCTAAAGAGTCAAGTTGGTAATAATAATATGAGAAAATTGAAGCAATATCCAAGCAAAAAATGGTCAGAATAACTCTCAAACTCACTTATTTTTGCAGGTATCACGTTCAAGCTAAGCCATCCATTGTCACAAAGAGCATGGTTAGTGAGACTAATTTCAAGGGATGGTCTATTTGATTTAGTATTACAATATATGATTTTAGATTTGGAATTAATTATATCTTGAAAGAATTGGATCTTTCTGGATCAGTGTGGAAGTTTGGATATTTCTATAACTTTGTTTCTTTTAAGACCATGGTTAGACCATCTTTTATTTCCATCCTACCTTTTCTCTATCCCTCTCTGATCAAGGGTTGATCAAGGGTCGATGAATGTAAAGGTATTGTTACAAACATGGTTTTGAATAGATACAATGACAAAGTAGAAAAAGTAAAGATAGAAGAAACCACAACATGAATTATAATTCATCAACACAACATGAATTATAATCCATCAATTATGTTTTTGTTGGGTAATCCAAGTGTGATTCTAAGTCCCACATTACTTAAGAATAAGAAAATATGACCCATAATCTAATGTTTTAAGGTTTTTATTGAGAGTAGTGTCAATCTTTATATGGGTTGGACTCATGTCTCATTGGTGTTGTTTCTCCCTAGTAAATCCTGTAGTCTTTGTATTGAAAATCTTCTTAACAGTGGGTCAAGTAAGCATGTCTCATTATGATGAACGAACATACATGGAAGGACTACTAGTGTGCTTGAGGGGATGTACCAATGTTCACACGTTGTGTAAGAATGAGAAAATTGAATAACATATAAGAAAGTATGACCCATAACCTAATCCCTTAAGATTTTGGTTGAGAGTGGTGTGAATCCTTATGTGGGTTGGACTCATGCTTCATTGGTATTGTTTCTCCCCAATAAATCCCCCTTGAAAGACCCAACAACTTTGGTATCTAGATTGGAAGCACAAACCATGTTGACAACCTCATATACAAATTCAAATCCTAGATTAAAGAAAAAGGCTCTTAAATATCTGAATATGTTCTCTCTAGGAAAAACCATGTTGACAACCTCATATACAAATCCAAATCCTAGATTAAAGAAAAAGGCTTTTAAATATCTGAAAATGTTCTCACTAGGAAAAAGAGTGTCTCGTCTCATGTCTATTGTAATAATATCGTTATGATCTATTACTATATCCGAGAGGTATTGTTTACTTTGGAAGCCTAATCTATCACGACTTTATTACACGTTTCGGTGGATTGAGAGATGAAGATATATATAAACTATCATTATCTTCAACTCCTAAACAAGGTGAGATTTATGAGCGTATTGGAATGACAACGAGTCTCATAAGCATATTGAAATAGAATAGAATATATAATTTGACATTTCTAAATAAAAAACATTGACAAAATGACTTAATTTGTTTAATTATAAAATTTGAATAATTTAATTATTTAAAAAAAATCACAAATATTTTAAATTACGGTAATAAAAATACAATGAGCCAATTTTTCGTTGTTTAAAAGCTTATGAAGAAAATTCAATGATAAAAATTCTAATCAGAGTCATCAAGATGGCAAGTTTCATCCAGCATGGCATTGCTACCAATAGAATTGTGAAAATAAGAGGTTCTAAAATCTAAACCAAAACTAATCCTTTGATTATTAGATTAGGAACAATCAACCAAATAAATAGTAAAAACAATCAAGTTTTGAGACAAAGATTTTGAGATTTCCAACAAAACCGGATGAAAGGTGAAATATAGAAGAATGATTGACATGCATGCATGCATGTCCTTTTCCCTTGACTCTTTGTTATGTTTACAATGATGAAGGACAATGATGTGTAACTATGAAGCATCGATGATGATCATGTCGACGGTGAATTGGTGATAACTCTGGAAAGGGTTTTCAGAAAACCCAACATGACAGGCTGTTGCTTCCCGGTGAACCTCGATCTGTCCCGCGGTCGCAGGGGAAGCTTCAAGCATGTTAGTTCCTCTTCTGGTATTTATTTTCCCTCTTTTTTTCTTTCTCTAATTTCATTCATATTTCCATCTTCTTCTTATTTCTTTTGCTTCATTTGTGTACCTATGAAATGAACTTTTCCCCGATTTTACTGTAAATTTTCACCAAAAATTAACAGTCACACGATGCAACAAAGGCACACACAATGGGTCATGAAATTAATTGATATTTCACAATATTTATAATTTCAATTAATTAAGTTTAATTGTCCATGAATAATTATACAAATCCTTTAGATGATCTGGCCCAGTTTGATGACTTCTGATTGAATGGTTTCCACTTGCTTTTCTATTTGGCTTCAACATATAAAGCCTTTCAATTCCCCAATTTTTTCAATCATTTTTCTGTGTGAAAATTTTGAATTTTGATGACTTATCAGGTATCTTCCATAACAAGTGTCATTATTCTAGTTTTTTTTACACTAGTTAACAAAAAAATGAAAGAGAATCATAATTTTTACAAAATTAATCTTATCATCAATCATTCATATTTATGGTTCCTATTGCTCAACGTTATTCTTATTAAGGAGTAACTGGAAAGAAACGATTAACATTATGTTAAAAAGTTGAGATCCTACATGCTTATTTTAGGATTTATTTTTTCTATGGGAGGAGAGTAGATGTTAAATTGATTGACGTTAACTAAATTAACTGGCAATGTTTTTCATGTTTCTGTTCAATTTGATAACAAGTAATGAGTTTCAGTTGTTATTTGTAGGTTCATCTAAACATAGGAGAAGAGAGAATTGTAAAGGGCCTCTGGTTGTTTGTTTTGGGGAGATGATTGTGAATTTGGTCCCCACAGTGTCACGAGTGTCCCTTGCAGATGCAGTAGCCTATAAGAAATACCCTTCTGGGGCGACTGCCAATGTTGCAGTTGCAATTTCTAGATTAGGATGCTCAACAGCTTTTATTGGGAAGGTGAAATTCTCTACTATATATTATAGTTTTTATTCTCCGAAAGAATTCTTTATGCTAAATCTTATTGCTGATTCTTACAAGTGAATTTAAACAATGAATGTTTGATAAACTTGACATAAACACTTCAAAACAAAAATAAAAAAATGGTAAAATGAATTAAGTTTTTTGCACAAGTTAAAATCATCAAAACTTACGAACTTGGTATTTACAGAATTTATTTTCTTTAAACTTCTTCCAAAATTAAGAATTATAATTTATAGAGAAACTCAATGTATTTTATCTTTTTACTTTCTTTTCTTACAATTACTATAATTTTGAAATCAAATAGGGTGTAATAAATATATGCTTACATAAGGATATGTTTTCTTGGTGATGATTAGCTTCTGAAGTAGAACATTTTGTTGTTGCATAGTGTCATGATCTCTGATCTAATGCATTGGATTGTGTATGCTATGAGCTCATCAATTTTATCTTGGGTGAAACAAAATTCAGTGTTAGCGAAGTCTTTATAGATTTGAATCTTTCTTTCTTTCTTTCTTCATAATCTTCTGTGTCCATTTGTCTGACCACAGTATCTCTAATATTTGCAAGGAAGGTGGGAAATGATGAATTTGGCTATATGCTATCTGATATTCTGAAACAAAATGGTATTGACAGTTCGGGCCTACTCTTTGATGATGATGCAAGGACAGCATTGGCATTTTATGCTCTCAAGAGGAATGGAGAACCTGAATTCATGTTTTACAAAAATCCAAGTGCTGATGTGCTCCTTCGTCCTGAAGAACTTGATTTGACCCTCATAAAGAAGGTAATACAAAGTTTGCATGGAAATCCACCCTCTTTCATTTCATATTTCATAAATAATGGTTGAAATTGAAACTATATACTTTCCAAGTTTTCAAATATGGATTGCATTTAGGCTTAACTCAATTTCTCAAAATCAACTTACAAGATGATATTTGTCCCAATATTCTAAACTACTTTGATCATATCACTAATCAATATTAAGATGTATACATCTTAAATATGACGTTTACAAGATTTGACACGTACAAGTGGTTTGATAACAGAAAACAGGTAGTTTGATAGGCTATATATCTAACAAGAATCATTAGAACAAAATTTGATATGATCCTAGAATTTGGGTTGGAACTTAAAAATTAGTAAGATGTTCTCCACTTACAAAAAATACTTTAACCATATTAGTCAAAATGAGATCTTAAAAAAAAATGCTACAATTTTATGTTCCAAAAGTTGCTCCAAAACCATATCTCTTAAGTATTTTATGCTGTGCAGGCCACAATATTTCATTACGGTTCAGTCAGTTTGATTAAGGAACCTTGTAGGTCTGCTCACATTGCAGCAATGACTGTTGCCAAAGTGGCTGGCTGTATCCTTTCCTATGCCCCAAATTTGGCACTGCCACTATGGCCTTCAAAGGAGATTGCTAGACAGGGCATCATGAGTATCTGGAACTATGCCGACATTATTAAGGTACATGTTTTGTTTGTGTGAATTCTCCCAGACACATAAAAGTATTTTAAAATGTTCCTTCAATGTCATTTTTGACATAAGGGGGCCATTTGATATTAAAGGGACTATTTTTTTGTCCATGAAAAGGAGTATAAACTCTAATTATATACACCCGGTCTGTTATGAAGTACAGGTAAGTGTGGATGAAATTCGACTCTTGACCGAAGGTGATAATCCTTACGATGACAAAGTGATCATGAAGAAGCTGCACCATTACAGTCTCAAACTTCTGCTTGTCACCGAAGGAGAACGAGGCTGCAGATACTACACCAAGGTTTTGATACATAAACTAAAACTTGCCATGATCTATATTCTATTTCTGCAACCACAATGCTGTCCAACTGATGAATGTTATTGGGGCTAAGTCATAAATGTAATTGTAGTGTACATATTTTGTCTTAAATACATGAAACGAAACCCCTCTCTATTTGCTATCCACTACTAAAAATTCTCATATTTCATGTGAATAATTTTGCAAAGTGTTTGTAAAAATTGCAAGAAATAAGTTGTCTACAAATTTAAACAATTTTTTACAAGAAAATTGGCAGAAAATAACTAGTTTTCTAGTGTGGATTGTGTTTAATCATGTAGATGTTCCTCTTTGTTGCACAGGACTTTAAAGGATGGGTTGCTGGGTTTGAGGTGGAAGCAGTTGATACAACTGGAGCAGGTGATTCCTTTGTTGGAGGATTTTTGAGCATTGTGGCTGCACACAATCACATTTACAAGGTCACAAATACTACTCCATATTCAGTTACTTGCATCACATGTGATCAGACCCCCTTTTTTGTCAACCTATGACATGTTTTTTTATTCTAACAAACAGAAATATATTTTTAATGTTTAAGAACTCAGTTCTCGTATCAAAACTAGTTTTACATTTGATAACTACCTCTAAAAACTACCGTTGGAGATAAAATTTCGGATATGTAATGCAGTGTAAACTGATATTATGATTTTAGGATTATCCTTCACTTATTTTTACTATTTTTATTCTTATCAATAGTCCATATGCAACTTGAGTTTTTCTCAGTAACTAATAACATCGATCCGCTCAAAAAGCTTATGGTTTGTAGAATTCAATGTAAAAAAATATCATTGGATAGTCTATAACCTTTTTTAGAATTCCAACTATAAGTCATGATCCATGTGATATGATGCCCTTGAGAAATTGAAGCTGTGTTCATTCGGCCATTTCTAGGATGAGAGAAGATTGAGGGAGGCTCTTGATTTTGCAAATGCTTGTGGTGCTGTCACAGTGACAAGAAGAGGGGCCATACCTTCACTCCCCACAAAGGATGCTGTTCTCAGAATTCTTTTCTCCTGCTTCAATTCATAGAGGAGAACATTTGCCAACGTACGTGGCACCTGAATTGATTAACTCAAAGGTGTTGAATTCAATTTATGTTGGTTGAGCTGTGGTATGTCCTAATCTTGAAATGGGATAACTTTCATTTGCCATAACATTTTTACAATTAGGGGACTAACATGGCAAGATAGTTACACTCTTAAATGTTTGTCTTTTTTATTGGTTGATATTTTTTAGAAAATAAAAAAAATTATGAAATTTTATATCTTACTTAATGATTATTTTTTATGATTTTAAAGTTCTTAATACATAAGAATCAAAAGTAGAATTTATAGTAAACAAAATATGTTTAAGAGTATATTTATTGAAATTTCAGTGAGAATAATTCTAAGAATAAAATTGAAAGAATATAAAATTTAAAGTGAATAATATTTTGGATGTTATAATTGATTATAATAATATAATCGTAATAAACACAAGATTTATATTCTTTTTTCTAAGCAAGTAAGTGATGTGTATCAGAATAAAAAATATAGTTTTGAATAAAAAATATAGTTTTGATTCACTCTTATCTCGTTACTTATAGATTAGAAGACTATGTTCTAATATACTTATAAATCTTATATTACTTATAAGTTAAGGTCATTAATAGTTTATATATTTTTTTTCTTAAATTCTTTATAAAGATTATGATTGTGATATTAAATAAAAATGGTATTGTTGAATAATAAATAACTGACAAAAAAAACAATAACTTATGCACACTAATTTCTTATTATTTTTATTGTCAAATTTTGGATTGATGCAGTTATTATACAACTTTTTCCCCTTATAAAATCAAATAATATTAATATATTTTTCAGAATACAATTAAAATTTTGTATATTTTCCAGAATTTTTTTATAGTGTTTTTCTTGAGATTTTTCAAAATTCACATAAAAATTTGCGATAATTATAAGAATTTTTATAAAAAGTTCGAAGAAAAATGCAGGAAAAATTCTATTGAAGGAACTGATTCTCTTAAACTATTTCCATTTGAGTCGTATGACTAAAGAAAAACATTTAAATTAGATCTAATAAGGTAAAAACAGATTTAAACGATAAAATTTAATGAAGTCAAAATTTGAACTTAATACAATCAATATAAATGGAGTTATTGACTAGAATGTGTAACGAACAAGCCAAGAACACAAAATACAAATACTTATTCCGTAGGTTGATCGATATGCTTCGTGAAATTTCATTAAGAATAATTTTAGATAATAATTGTGAATTATAAGTTGCATGCACATCTAACCTCAGCCATTTCATATCTTAGAAAATAAGACTTTTAATCATTGTACCGTTGATTTTGAAACTCGATTTCCATTTCATCAGGTTATAATTTTTAAAGACATTCAGATCAATAGTGAGAAAAAAAATTAAACTACGTGGATTTTATCATACACGAAAAATAATAAATAATATTTTATCCAATGTGATAGTTATAAAAAGGGAAATATTTATCCCACAAACATGCTGATTATGGTATCATTAGTAGGGAAAATTTTATTTGATTAATATTTGATAATACTTGTACTTGTCTTAAAATATATATAACTGTCTAAAAGTATTTCTAATGAAAATTATTAATTAAAATACTTAAATAAATATTAATTACTTGAAACAACTTTTTATTAAAAAAATTCTATGTGATATAATAAATGTTTAAATTTTTTTATAGTTATTTCTTCAAATAAACAAATCAAAATAATCAAAAAAAGAATAAAAGACAGAATAAATTCTTTAAAATTTATTAAAAATATTTATAAAATAATAAATTAATAACAAATTAATTAAAAATAGTATAACATCATAAATTTTTATTTTATATTTTTTAAAATAAAAAATAAGTACTATGAGTTAGTCTATTGAATATTTATGTTAATATTGCTGAGATGTGAACTTTATTGATTCAGTTTTCTTTACTTGATATATACATCAATTGAACTTCGGAAAAGTTCAATAAATTTCCAGTTTCTTAGAAGGGTATTTTAGATAGACAGTCCAATAATCTGTTTGGTAATTTCACAGTACTGGCATGCCCCAATTTCTTCCACATAACATAACAATAACTAATAAATGAGGAAGACAAGGGTTAATTAAACCCTAATCATTAATTAGAAAGTTAAAGCGACAATATTATTCATCTCTTAGTATTAGGAAACATATGTGACATTATAGATTACATTTGGGATTCTTATTTCATGTTTGCATACAAGGATTATATTATGTTCAACTAGACCTAGGTAGTCCAATGAACAATTCAGTCTCCACTTCTGAACTTGGACTGCTTTCTGCATAAGGTTGATTTTCTCTCACATCCTTAGTTCCTGCCTGTGGCTGCATACCATACTGCATCCAAAGTTAGTGTTAGGTTTTCAGTTTAATTGAACATACACAGGTTTTTTAAGTGGATGAAATTCATATAAGTGCTAAAGAAATTATGCAATCACACCTATTTAATGAGTCTCATTTATTCTTAAACAAAACATACATGAATTTCACTTAATAGTGAAAAGTGTGTTGAAAGAAAATCAGAAAGAGTGGATTGTTTGCATTCCTCCAAATCTAAAGTTAGTGATGAACAAACATCTCCAGGAGAAATTTTCTAGACAGCAGAAACAATAGTGTAATTTCACCTGCTCACACAGCCTGGTATTTTCAGCATATAGGGTTCTTTCCTGTATTATAATCAAAACACACTTGTTAGCATCTCTTTAATGCAATCTAAGAAGATTTTTTGTTTTTCTAAAATTACAGAACATGTTTCATACTCTTCACCAAAGATAAATAATAATGAACTCAGAATTAGCATAGAACTAAATTTAAATACAAAGTTTATCTTAATTACCATAACAAAACAATTGTAAATACAAACTAACAAGGAACAGTGCTGATAACACCAGTTTCAGATGGTGGAGACAACATCCAAATTTCATAGGAAGATGGTTGAAATCAAAATCAAATTAAATCAGATGCAGACTCCTTTGCAGTTCTCCCCAGTTGGAATTTGAGTTATGTTTTGAAAAGAGTAACAGATTTGTTTCTCTTCTCTTTTTTGCAGTTTCAACTTTTGGTTAAGGTTCAAAAGAACTAACGTAATCCATCGTTGAGATTACATTAAGTGCATGCACATATATAAAAAATAAAATAAAATAGCTGATTAAATTTCAACAGTTAACTTTTCAAACAGTAGTCATAGCTCATTTGTTTACTAAATCTCCAAACCTAGAAGAGCTAAATTTAAGGTAAACTACATGTGTCATAAACACAAACCTGGAATCAAAGATTCTTGTCTATAGAAGTCAAGTTTGAATAGCTTTACTTTGTCATTGCAACTACTTATCACGTTGGCATTTAACAAAATCAAATGCAAGATGACATTCACAAATTAAACTCCAACCACCTTAATAATATGAACAACTTACCTTTTCTTTTAGTTGCTCAATTTGATCCTTGTAAACCTGATTCTGAATATAGAAAGTTGGGGTCAGATATTTATCAAATTGAAACATTAAAGTTTAAAAATTTCACGAGCTTCTTTAGCTAACCTTTCTTGCACGAACATTGCTTACACTCCTTTCCAACTGTTGTTCTATCTGTTGCAGTTCTTCTAAGGAGCATGAACCCAAACCTTCTCCCAATAGCTTCCTGAGGGATGAATGTACACATGTAATATATATATATATATATATATATTCTTTTTCTTGTGAGTGGAAACTAAAAGGTGCATATAAAAGTAAGATGTTGAACCGTTTTGAAGCTTCAAGTAGCTCAATCTTCTTCATCAAGTTTGCTGTTTCTTGCTTCAAATGCTGCATTGTATTAGGAAATTTCATTCACCCCTCAAGTATTTCTAAAGTTTAATGAGTATCTACGATAACATATTACAGTAAATAAAAACAGAAATAAACAGAGTGTCAACTAACCAATTCTCTTATTCTCACTCTTTTTCTAATCTAACAACTTCACTTTTATACCGATTAAGATGAACTACACTGGAAGTGTTCAAGGCATGAGGAGGTTTATAGAATTTATAATTTTCAGGGTTTATTAATAGTTTTGTCAGGAATTTCACGTTAAATGTTGAAGTCTATTTAAGTCCTAAAATTTGTTACACTTGGCAAAGAATTGATATAGATCAGGTGTTTGTCTGAATTTATAAATCTTTGATAATTTGGCATAACATAATATTCTAGGGTTTTAACACTGAGCACAGTAAGTAACCAATGTTGTGTAAATAAATTTAATCAAAATCATAAATGTTTGCATGAAGTTATTCACGTGAATGGTCAAGAAAAATACATTTTAGACAAACAACAATATGTCTAAAATAATGAACACACCACAATTATAAGATTCTATTTTCGTGTGAAAAATAGTTAGTCCAAAGAATGATTAATTTGCAGAATTTATGTAGTGTTTGATCACTACATTTACTAATGACAAATTAATTGTTCCATCTAAATACTATAAAGTATCTTGAGATGAATTTTCCACTTTGATATTTTTCTTTTGACTTATTTGACATAATATGAATTTCTTTTTTTTCCTCTATGCGGTTCATGTTTCTAGAGTTAATGAATATTTTCCTAAGTTAATAGAATCACAATTCTAATTAGGGTGGATTTGAATCTAGAGATATGCTATGAGATAGTCCTATGGGAAATTTGATGAAATCAACCGTTCTAACAAAAACATGCTTAAATGAGAATGAAATCAACCATTTCAGAGAATCATTTTCAGTCTTTATTACCAAGTTAAAGTTTAAGCTTAATTTTTTAACCAGGCAAGTCTGAGATTTCAATTACGTAAGTTTTAAAAAATAAATCAAACTTTAACATCCAATTTTTATTCAAGTCAAAACCAACCTCCAAGAGCTCAACTCAACTTTATTAGTTTATATCCTTATTGATGATCATTGTGGAAAAGTGGGAGCTTTTGGTTAGATATCCAAAGATTAAGTGCTCAAACACTTTCATGCAAGCGTAGAAAGAGTAACAAGTAAATGCCAAAATGTGTTAAAATAATGGTGATGCGTAGAGACATGGGTCCATTTGAGCATCATTATAAGTATTATGGAACCAAACTAGAGAAGACAACCTTCAAGACCCCAAAATACAACATGATGACAAACAGAAAAAGCCACAACACTAGTGTCAGAACCAAATACATACCCTTCTGTGTCAAATTAACTAAAGTCTTTTAGGATGAAGCATAGAGATCTCCAACAAACTTAATCATCTTTTTCTGTTTCCATTATCCTTAATGATGTTGTTTCTTATCTGGTGTGGAGATGAAAATAATATTTTAGAATGATGGTGTTTGATTTCAAGGAATTTGTCCATATTCTTATAAAGAAATCTCTAAGCTTAAAACTAAGTCTAAATAATATATCTTCTTTCTTGCTGATCATGATGATTTTGGATACAAATTTTACTGTTCGAATTGATGAGGTTTTCAAATTGTCTTCCTTGAAGAAACAAAAATCATTGAAAATATTAAAGAGGAAGAACTAAAATAGGTAATTTATCTATTGATGTTGAACTAGAACCTCCACCCGAGGTCATTAATAATGTGGGAATGTGAATGCAAATGTAGAAAATATAAGGAATGTGTGTGAGCCTTAAGTCAATGAATCGAGCAATTCCCTCTAAACCACCTATATATCTTCAATTAAGAAGATCAAGTAGAGAGCATCGTTCTTCACAAAACTATCTTGCATTGAAGGATTCCCAAACGACAAATCTTGACATGAAATTATTCGTAAAAGAAATGTTGATAAATTGTGGTAATCACAATGAAAATATAATGAAGAAAGATTTTGATATGGACAATTTTACACTTGCTGGTTTCCACTTATAAGTCATTTTAAGTTTAGCTATAAATAATGTCCTACAAATTGAAAGAAAGAAAAAATAAATAAATACGAAAGATTTTGTATGTAACTATACTTGACAGTTTTTTTATGCAACTATGATTTTAAAAGAGTAAATATTATTAGTGTTTTAGACATTTTCTTTGTATTCTTGGTAAAGAATACTCACAAGTTGAGAATGATACTCAAGTATTTATTTTTTTAAAATAAAGCCCATTATATAGAAAATCAGCGTCAAGTGAAGATGTATTTTGGATTGTTTTCATTTTAGTTAGAATCACATATTACTTAAAAATCAGTAAATTAAACAACAAATAAATAAATAATCCACAAACTTGTTTCTTTGATTTTTGGTTGAGTTTATTATCTATGTCACTTGTGACTTAGCTCATGAAGACCTATTTGTAAAAGTTTTTCCTCTCCTTTGTATTTTAAATTCTCTCTGTTTCTCAAGCTAATTACCCATTCATGGATTTATTGCATTGTGATTTCACTCATTCATAATAGTCTTAATTGCTCCATTAGCAAGTAAAAGTTGGCTCTATTTTAGCTATTTTAAATCAACATTTAGGTAGTAGTGCAATCATATCAAATTTTAATTGTTTTGTTAAAGTATTTATCGACAGGCTATAATTTCATTACCGAAACTAAAACTAGTCTCTAGAGAATGGAAAGATACACATGAAAAAAAAAGTTTTATATAAAAACATTTATTACATTAAAAATGAAAAGCTTTTCACTTTTATATCTAATAACTATTAGATCATCTCAAATAAAGTTTTTAATAAAAGTTGCTTAGAAATAAAATTAAATATTTTATTATGGGTTCCACAGTTAAATTGTTTAAAATTTTTTTAGAATTGTTTATACAAATAACTTTCTTTCAATTTTAAATAATTTTCTCCATTTTTAAACGACTCAGATGTAGAATCTATAATAAAATATTTACTTATATTCTTAAGCAACTCTTGATAGCATTTCTATCCGCTCTTACAAAACTCTTAACCCCAAATTCAATAAAAGTTGTATTGAAAAAAGAGCAAAGAGCCTTGTAAAGGTGAACAAGATATTCTCATTATTGCAATTCATATTATTAATGACTTGTAGTTTATGTGAACAACATCGTTGAAAACCCTACAAAGTAAGAAAATCTTTTAACCATCTAAAATGTCAAATTTTGTTGTTGACTCGGATGAAACAAGGATGAGCTAATCATGTATAAAAAAATGGATGGATTGAAAGATTCAATTTATTGATTCTAAAAATATGTTCTTTTATTTGTATTTAGTTATTTTAAGAGTTTTAGGAGATTTTCAAAGAGAATTGTTAATAAAAATTGCATAAATTAAAATTAAATTTTATGAACTTTAGACTTACTTAAAAATTAGTCCAAGTTATTTGTATAAATAATTTTCTTGAAAACTCTTATTAACAACTTTATATAATTATGATTGAATTTGTTATTGATGAACTTGCATTAATTTATTTGCTTATATAAATAATTTAATAACTTATTTTATTATATTAATATTTTTATTTTTTAAACAAAATATATATAATTGCTTTTATTAATATCATTTCTTATATTGTATTATTATATTTAAAAAATAAAATAATAATAATAATAATAATACTTTATTATAATTGGTATGATTTCAGTTAAACTTGATTCAACTTTTCAACTGAACTCATTTCTTTCACCAATCTGAATCTCTTTACTTTTTAGTCATCAGCCCCCAGGTAGGAGAAGCTTTTGTCCTGGTAATCCATTTATCAGTAATTTACTTGCAAGCCTGATAACAGTGCAATCAAAAGTTCAAAATTGAAGCTTTCTGTTAAAATTTATAAAAAATATGCATTGGAATACACACTTTTTCTATTTTAAATTTCGTAACCAGTGTCCTTAGCACAATGGTTGACATCTTTAGAAAAATCAATATAAGAAATGAACACACTGGTTTCTTACTTTGGACTTGAATCTTGAAAGGATCAATAATAAGTATATGCATCATTTTCTCCCAAAAAGTCATTATGAAGAAGGAATATTTAATACCCATTTTACAATCATTAATTTCTGAGAATACCTAAAGGTATGTACTATATAATGTTTGTATTTCCTACATAGTATATTCCAGAAGCATATAATAGTACTACTTGATGAATAGAAATGACATATAATTAACAAAAGTGGAAAAGAAGAACATAAAAGAATGATAAATAATACCTGCATATTCTGTTCATCAGATCTGTTCACTGTTTGAGCACTTCTGTTATGCCTGCGGTAGCGTTCAATGGTGTCCTGCATGCTGTTCATGAGAAGTTTCTTAAGCATCAGAAAAGAGACTCAGAACATAATCAGTGTCTTCCAAAGTTTCAGGGGCAAAAAATATTAATAAAATGATAACTAAGTAATCTTGTTATATCCTTCCACATTCACTTCAGTTAAGATTATTACAAACATATTAAAAATAATAATAAATGTATTATTTTTTTAAATGACTTATCCAAATAACCTCAATTTTTTTCATAAATTATTTTGAATAAGAAAGACACCATAATTTATTTAAGGATATAATAGAAAGAAATTTAAATGGGTTACTTTAAATGAACTTTTGTCATGAACATTAAATTACAAGCAGGTGCAGATATTAATTAACCTTGTCCTTCAAATTTGTTAAACTAAATTTAAAAAACAAATTATCAATTAATAAATTAAATGAAATGTAGTTATTTTCATGACTGTATATGATATTCATCTGTTATTTAAAAAAAAAAAAAAAGAGTAGAATCATAATTATTAATTAGCAAATCAATTCTTGATATTATTTATAATTAATTTTAAATTTCGACATAAATGTGTTTATTTTATAACATATGCTACTTTTGATTTTTATTTAATAATTATTATTAAAGTGTACAATCTCATTTTAGAAGAGTCAAATATATTTTTTATATATTGTCTAAATTGAAAAGCCACAAGTCATTTATAAAAATAAAAAAATTAACTTATCTATAAGTACTATTAAAAGATAAACATTAAGAAATAAAAATAAAATATATAATTTCATAAGTTTAAATTAGTTTATACTTTTAAAGAAATTGATATATTTTTTTATAAATGATTTTATGTATAAGCTATTTTAACTTGTAAAAAGGTTCATTTTATTTTTTTTATTTATGTTCTTAACCAAAAATTATTTATGAAAAAGTTGATTCAAACATGTTAAAGTATAATTTATAGCATGTATCATCTTCTATTTTGCTTTTAGTTGTCACTTTGAAAAGAATTACTTGTAAAAAGAAAGATGAAATGAAATATCAAAAGGGTCACTATTGGAATAGCAACTCCCTCAATTTATTTTTATTTTATTTTATTTATCCTTAGTAAATATTCACATTAATCTAGATTCTTTTATTGCTAACCACCAATTTGGTGAGAGAGAATATTCTTCAACTTCTAAATAAGTAAATGGAAGAACAATCCTTATCATATCATGTATTTATAAAATCATGTACTGTTAAGTGTGTGTACTTTTATGAAAAGATAAAATAATTATGTATTTAAATGCGCAGTAGTTAAAAAGAATGAAATACAGAATAATATAAGGATATTTTAGAAAAAAATAAAAAAATCTATTCACTACTCGTTTATTAATTTTCTTAATATGTATAGAAAAACAAAAACCTTAATTCACTTATAAAATCAAATGGATGGAGTTTAAATAATTAAAAGTTACAACTCAAAACAACCTAAAATGCAAGCAAGCTCTTAAACTGTTTGGTTTCAAATGTTTTCTCTTTCAAGTTTGTGAATTGTGTTGACAAATTTTTGCATGAAAAAATATTGATATTTGATGAAAGGATATTTTTTTAAGATGTGTAGTATAGATAGTGATAATGTTGAATCTTAAAGCAAACATACCTGATAATGCAGTTTGGAAAGGAAAAAACACTTCATAGAGTGGATTTGGAGAAATATTTAAACTTGAAGAATAGTTCCTTTCTTTTGGCATCTAAAGGATAAATAGTGCTCATTGAATCTTAAAGCATGCGACACCATGCAGCTTGAATGAAGAAAAAAGAACTCTACAAAGGGGATAGTGTAGATGAGGCAGATAAAGTGAAAATTTTTCACACATTAATTTGTACGATATTTGTTTGAATTATTGATTAGTTTTTTAAAAACGTTGACCCCAGAGTTTCATTCAAGTTCTTAACAACCAAAACCCTAGCCCATCATAATTAATTGTTGAATACATACATGGAAGTCAATCAGACACCATATACCAAGCCTAAGCTTTATACACGAAATTAACTTCTAAACATTTCATGTTGATGTTTTTTGTGTCTTCAAAACTTGAATAAAGTCAATTTAACTCCACCCATGCATTCCTTTTCTTCATTTCTAATGCAAAGAAAATCTGAAATTTTTATGTATGATGTAAAAGGGTACAAGTACCCCTTACCAGTATACTGTGAAGTTGATTTTTTCAGATGCAAAGAAAGTTGTTGGAACCACAAGTAAAGGTATTAGATAGCATGCTTTTTAGCTATGTAAAAAGAGATAAAAGAAGGATATTGGAGAAAAAAGTATTAATAGAGATTCATGATGAATAACATCTTCACGTATGTGATTTTTATTTAGTTAAGTTCACTAATGACATACAATTCTATTAGTTGATTTCATTTATTGGGATAAGACTATTACTATCACAATTAACTAGGTCTTCATGAAGATATTAATCAGTTCTGTAATTTTCGAACTTGTCTAAAGCTAGTTGTATTATGATGATTGAAATATGCCATGTGTTGAACGTTGTGGTAATTTTCTTTTACTTTATAATTCAAAGCAAACTAAGGTGAGCAGTTGCAAATTCTTAATATTCAGCTCAAACTCAACAAGTGGCAGCAGCACACACAACAAGGAAAAAGTCACAGAAGTTGCATGAAGAATTTGCACTAAGGAGACCAGTCACAGTAAAAACCCTAGCTCCTCCTCACCACAGTTGAAGTACTTAATGATTGTAGCACTGGTCACAGATTCATCAGAGCTATTTCATCTTATTCTTTATTTTTTTAATTTAAGAGTATTTTCTAATTTAATTATTTTATTTATAAATATTCATTTATTATGTTTTCATTCAAACATAATATAATTCAATTTTTTTAATTTATTGTATTTTACATTATTTTAGCATATAAATAATATATATATATATATATATATATATATATATACATTACATACTTCTTTTTATTTTTTTTTAGAAGTGATAATTTGAGATGAACCAAATTGATGAAAAAAAAAGTCTAAATTAATGTTGTCAAACGCCACTTTTCTTAAGCCAAGTTTGCTTATGCAATCCACTTGTAGAAAGTTATAAATAGAAATTTTGAATCAAATAAATTAACTGATGTGAGAATCTAATTTAGTTGAGTTAAAGACCACCAGAAATCAATAATTAAATGCAAATCAGTACATGATCGCTTAAATTAAGAAATAAGCAAATTATTTTCTTCAAATCAGTCCCAAAAATATTGTTTTTGCAATTAGTTAGGTGAGTCATCTACTACTACTGTACTTACGGGTTTTTTTCTCTTTTATTTAATTTACAATTTCTATTGAATTTTTTAGTTTATATTATTTTATTTACTTTATGTATTCATTACTGATTTTAATTTGTGCTATTTAATTGTTTAGAATTTTTATTTTAGTATTGTTTAATTTTCATTTTTAATTAATCTCTTTTCTAATTTCAATTCTCAATTTAGTTTTATAGGCTTATAGTTTCTAGAAATTTCAAATTTAACTACTTGTGTTATTTTATTTTAAAATAATTCTTGATTTTTGCACTTTTAATTAAAAATACTTTATTTTAATTTTATAAATTTCAATTATTTAAATTATGCATCAATTTAATTTTAATTACTGCACTATTTTGCTTCAAAGCAATTTTTATTATTATACTTTATTTTGATTTTTTAAATTTCAATTATTTAAATTCTGCTTCCATTTAATTTTAATTGTTGTTAATATTCTATAACAATTTGATTTTAAATTTTTATTAGTATTAATTTATTTCTTTTTCACTATTTTATTCATATCCTATTAGTTATACTATATTAGTTTAGTAATTTTTTATTAATTTTTATTAGTATTTCGTGCAACCAAAATGTTATTATCAGGAAAGGTTTAAGATTTTATTTAATGAAAAAATTGTCTCTGAAGTTTTCTTGCCTCCATGTAGCATAAAACAAATGTCACAAGGAGCGAACTAATAAATTGATAAACACTTATACTAAAAGAAGAGAAAAAGAATGAGATTTCTAAGAACTTGTTTAATATGTAGTGGTAGTGTTGAAAGAAATGCCATTTGACAGTTCACGTAAGACCAAGCCAACTTGTTTAGCAGCACAATGCACTTGGCAGAAAATAAATTTTGAAAATATTAATAAAAAGTGACTTTCACAAGTCAAATTTGGATTCAATATATATCTATTTGGAAAGTGTTCCTGCTACTCATATAAAATTTTTCCAAAAATAACATGGGAAATGTCATTTTTAAAAGCAAAATAATTCTTTTTACAACAACTCTTCCAACTTAAAATTTTAAATCATTTTAATTAAAAAGAACACAAGGTTTGCTGAAAAGCTCAAACTAATAATGCAAGCTGAGCAGAGATATATGACTTATGAGCAAATATATACGACAAAAAGAAGAGTTTTAGAAACAGAAATTTATTTAAGGGTTGTTCGACTAAAAGACATTATTTGAGAAGAATCTGAATTAGTATATTTGAACTAATAACCTTTAATATTTATGAGATTACTAGTGCTTTGAAAAAACTTTGGCTTTTTCTTTGGATAAAAAATTTATCTTCTTTGTCAAATGTCTATGAAGTATTAACCTTAAAATTAACCCACTAGCTTACCTTCATATCTCGTTAGAGGGCAAGAATTATTTGTAATTTTATAATATTTTCAATAATTGTTCTCATTTCAAATTGTGGAGGACCAAAAGGAAGTTGGTTCACAAGGACAATGACTCAACAAGAGCAACATGTAGAAGGAAGAGTTACATGTGCTAAGATATATTGGCATATTTTGGCCCTTTAGAAGTTTTTTCTGTTGTGGGAATGATGCACAAAAACCATACAAGTTGATACTAACATTCAAAATATTAATCACTTTAAGCCAAATATAAAAAATCATAGGAAAGGGATAGAATAAGTAAAATTATAATAATGTATATATAATTTTTTTACTACTGAACTTCAGAAAGATTCTGATAAGTTGCAGATTCCCTGAAAACACGGCAACTT